ACTTCATGCACTGAGCATTTCAATATTAATTTTAAAGTTCTTCCATTGACTGTGGATTCAACTGAACTACTTGGATTATAACCTATTTATATATTTTGCTTTCAATTTTGATTTTAACTTTTAGTAATTTAACTGCATATTCAGATTTTTCCTTTTTTACAGTACTGATAGCGCTTGGTGGACCATTTTATTGTAGTCAACCATCCACTGTCTAATATATTGTTTAGTCTTTTCTTACATTCATACTTTATGTCAACTTTAATTGCTCTCAAACTACCTAACAAACATCCTAATTATTATAGACAGGTTTGAGTGTGAGATTTGGATTATTCAATCTACATATAAAATATACTATATTATTTTATATTTCATCAGTTGATTTCCTATAATGGTGTCAGTTGGACCTTTGGTCAATACTTAGTTTCATAGAATTTTGAAAGGTGCAGATTATATATCTATTGTAACTGCCCTTTACAAGCTGTCATTTGTCATATGTCATCTTAATATTTCCGCCAGACCGGGAGCCATTCTGTCTCCGGCTTCTATATAATATGTAGCTTCTCCTTTTTTAAAAATTTTAAAGTGTTTGTCTTTGTGTATTGTTATGTCCAAATTTACATGTATGACATTCTGCTCATGTCGGATAGGCCACAACTGACTAAGTAAGTCTATAAACGTTTATCACATAAGAACTTTTTTCAACCATAAAATTCGAGTTGTTTATCGAAGTGAATTAATTTTCCTTTTTTTATAAAAAAAAAACGTTTCTTGGCTTATTTTAGATGCCCCTAAGGATGATCTATTGATCGAAAGTACTTGGGCAAGATTTAATAATTTACTGTGTTTGATATTTGCCTTGTATACCATCAAAGTTTTATTAATTAATGCACTACAACTAGCATTTAATAACATTACAGCACTTTACTCTACTTTTTAAACTAAACTGTTACACATTTACGCTCATTCAAACGGTTATGTCCTTATGAGTATTCTCTTTAGTTTAGTGTTGTTAAGAAGCTGGATTGGTTCGACATTCAGATAACTATGCAGCCTCTGCTCTTAGCTTGCTGTTGTTCTCTTTATTAGGGAGAGCGCCCACCACAGTGGCGTGGCACGTGGCAAGTAGCAAGTAGCACGCGTCTAGCATGTTACTAAAAATGTAACCAATGGAAACGAATACCAGGTGACGGCAGAGATAAGATTTTTTATGAGGTGCTTTAGTGCACAAAGTTCTAAAACGATGATCTTTATTATGTATGGCTGTTTGCATGGACAAAGAACAAATTTATGTGTTTAGCCCATAACCCATTAGCGTCGAGAAAAGAAAATTCTTTTCATATGCAATAATTTTATTTAAAACTACGTAAAAACAACTTATTTTTGTTACATTTAAGCCGAAATAAAAAAAAATTCGTTTTTTTGGAAAAAAAAATAGTCCAATACGGGACTACTAGGCGTTTGGCAAGACCAAATAATATTTGGTCTTGCCAAACGCCTAGTGGTCCCGTATTGGACTATTTTTTCCAAAAAAAAATTTAATCAATTTATTAATGTGTCCCATTTGTACGAAATCTTTTAAAACGTGAAATGCAAAGCCCAACGTTGCATTTTTCACACATTGTACGCCATTTTGAACTGCAAAGAGTTTTGTATAAACATATTTGTACCTGACAAATACTTCTTCTGAACTCTTCTTCTTCTTCTTCTTAACGTGCCCTATCAAGTCCCCTTGACGTTGGCGATTAACATGGCGAAACTGTCTTTGTCTCGAGCTATTCTAAAGAGTTGCTCAGCTTTCTTTATTCCTGTCCACTCTCTGATATTCTTCAACCAAGAGGCCTGCTTTCTACCAATTCCTCTGCGTCCTTCGATTTTACCCATCATAATAAGTTGAAGAATATTATATCGGTCTCCCCTTACTACGTGCCCAAAATAGGCCATCTTTCTACATTTGTCGGCATAGCCATCCATGGAATTTTTAGTATACGTCTGTGCAGCCACATTTCAAAGGCCCCCAGACGATTAATGGTGGATATTTTTAATGTCCATGCTTCGACACCGTATAAGAGGACTGACCAAATGTAGCATTTAACCATGCGCTTTCGAAGTTGAAGTTGCAAGTTATCATTACAGAAGAATGGCCTCATTTTTAAAAATGTCGTGCGGGCTATCTCGATTCTACATTTTATCTCTGGATCTGGATCTAGTTGTTTAGTAATATGGCAACCAAGATATTTAAAACTGGACACTCTTTGAATTATATGACCATCAACATATAATCGTGCATCTTGATGTGCTAAACGGCACCATGTGTTTTGTTTGTGAACAGTTTATGTTTAGGCCAAACTCTCTTCCCACTGTATCAATGGCATTTAAAAAGCATTGTAATCCATTCATGTCATCACTTAAAATAACTGTATTGTCTGCATATCTGATTGCATTTATTAGAATTCCATTAACTTTCACGCCCCATTCCAAATTATGCAGCGCTTCTTTAAATATTCTATTTGAATATAAATTAAATAACAGTGGGGATAATATACAACCCTGTCTGACACCTCTTTGTATTTTACATATTTCTGTTGATTTTTCGTTTATGCAAGCTGTCGCTGTTTGGCGCCAGTATAACTTTTCTATGAATCGTATGTATTGACTATCAACTCCTTTATCTTTTAATATTGTAATTAATTTGTTATGCTGTACTCGATCAAAGGCCTTTTCATAGTCAATATATACAGCAAAGACGTCTTTCCTTTGATCTCGACATTTCTGCAGTAATACATTTAGTGCAAAGAGGGCGTCCCGAGTTCCCAGTCCATTTCTGAAACCAAATTGGGTTTCATCCTGTTCTTCTTCACATTTATCTCTGATTCTACTATGGATTCTACTGGATTCTACTGGATTCTAAACTTTAGGAGACTGATACTCTTCGCGGATTTCCTACATATCGTCCAACCATTTTGAAGAGCTGCGTCTATGAGGTACGTAAATATTGGCCAGTACCATTTTTTGGAACGTATGCCGGCTCGGTAACTGAAAAAAAAAATTACTCTTTATTTTTTACTAAGATATATTAGTTTCCATAAGATCAGTTTCTCCCATGCTGTTATACTGCGACAGAAGATATGGCCTAGGTACTTGTAATGTCTTGCTATCCTTTTTGGAATATCTTTCCACATTTTTGACCGGCTGAACACCAAAACATGTGCTTGCAGCTGTTACAACTTTGTTGTCCCTCCAGCAAACATATTGAATGCCAGTCTTCTTATTCAATGTTGAACAATATTCCCCTCGTGCCCTCTTTTCCATCGTCTTTTTGGAAACAAGTGGACAATTTCTAGGAATTCTATGATCCCTCACAGTACCTGTACCTTCGGACCCATTAGCTTTTTAAGTACTCATCAAGTATGTACTGGTAAATAAATTATCAACGAAAAACTTGTATCTTAGAGATCCTTTGTCACCCAATTCTTCTATCTTCTGTACCATGGGAGCTGAGGCTTTTCCGAAATATTTTTGATATTCTTTATTAGATTTAGGATTTTTTTCCTGATATACTTCAAAGTTTATCAAATATCCGCTAGGTGTATTCATACACCACACCTTATAGCCAAACCTTACAGGCTTTTATCTGATAAACTGTTTGCATCCATGATGCCCAAATTAGCGTTTGAACCTATGAACGATTTTTTTAACATATCTGTAAGTGGTCTTAGTTTATGCATTTTGTCAGTTTTATCTACATTATTATTGTCTACAAAATGAAGTAAACGACAAATTTGTAAAAAACCGTAACGTCTCATGACATCAGAGACCAGAATATTTTGCATGTCAGGGCTTCTTTTAGATGGTAGCTTTTTATATCCGCTTACTAAAAAAATTGCCATAAATACTTTCAATTCAGGAAGTGTCACGTTAGGTTTCGGTTGCTTTATCAGTAGAGCATATTTTGTTATTTCAGACACTATCATTTCTAGCAACTCATCAGTAATAAATAATTCAAACAGTTGCACACAACTTATCTCTGAATATTTACTGTAATTCCCTTTTGGAAAGTTGCGCGGTGTATAATGAAGGTCTTCGTCAATATAAGTTGTAGGTTCTGGCAGATCAATTACCATTCAGAAATTTGTATTAGTTTTTATTTCATAAGAACTATTTACGTTATAAATCCTTATCATAGCTTGATTCTAGGTCTGGTTGTACACCTCCTAGACGTTCAGAGTCTGCAAATACAACTTCCGCACCAAGTTGACGAGGATTCAAGTTATCCGGGTCACCACCTTCGTCTTCGTCACCTGAATCATCATCCGTAGGAAATTTGATTCAGGCAGCTCAATAAAAATGTCTGTTACATCATATTCTTCATATGCGGTATTTAAAGCTCCCTGTAGTGTAATTCCACTGAAATTATACAAAGATATGTTTTGACTACATAACCGCCTAGTGGGTCCATATATGTACAGCAATATTTACATGATTTTTTAACTGCCCCTTGTAATTTTGATAGAAAAATATTCACACTACGTTGAATAAGATATTTTAAAATAAGTAAAATTGATTTTATCCTAGTATTCCCAAAAAAAGGTACTGAAAATTTACTTACATAAATCGGATGTCCATTATCAAACACTTTTTACTATAACACATTTTCTAACTTCCTTAGCTTAATTACTAAATAACTGGGAATAAGTCACAATTAAAGGTAAAACTACGTTTATTGACGTTTTAATTTCCACTTCGGAAATCGTTCTCAAAATACAAACAGTAAATTAAATCCTTATCTTGTCAAATCTAATAAAACACTGATGAGTATTCATCAAAGTAGGTTCAGACAAGTCTAAATAAAGTATACATACATGCGATAAATGTAATGTTGGTTGCCTGTTTTACTTTACAGCTGGGTCCATATGGTGGCTGTAGGCGCTAATGGGTTAATAATAAAATATTTTTATTATTTAATATTATGTTTTTAATTTTTTTTGTTTATTTTTTTGCAGAAAGACGGAACATTTACCACAATAAGTTCGCTGTCGTTCAAAGCCAGCCATTGGGAAAATGGAAAAACCATTCACTGCTTTGCGGAGAATGCGGTAATGAGCAAAAACGTCGAGACTGAGCTGCGAAGTAACCTGATCCTCGACGTAAGATGTAAGTTAACAGCATTACCTTTATTTATTAGTTATCAAGAAAAAGGTGGTGACAGATTTATGAAAACTTACTAAATGAAAATATTTTAGAAGTGAAATTAATAATAAACACAATATTTGTGAAAGTAAATGGAATAATAAATTACTATTTAACTGGGAATAAGCCACATTTAAAGATAAAAATACGTTTGTTGAGAAGCGATCAATAAACGTATTTTTATCTTTAAATGTGGCTTATTCCCAGTTAAATAGTAATTAATTTAAAATGCCACAAAAAAATAGCTTCAGAATAGCTTTTTGATTCCCAAAAAAAAAAATAAAAAAAAACAAAACTCACAAAACGACTCGGTAGTTCTAGAGGGTGTTTCAGGATTTGAGTCTACATATTGAAGGGCCATATCCCTGTTTTTTTAAAGCCTGACCGAATATTTTAAGGTACGAGAGGTTTATCGTGTACCGTACCAACCAACTCAGCGATATTGTATATTGTGATGGGCGTTTCTTAATGATTCAGTAGCCAAGCCTGACATGCAGCATTATAATATGCCTTAAAATACCCAAAGACAATCACATCTAAGGACTGGAAGTTTGTTGCTACAATGTGGAACCAACGTTAAAATATGGACACCTGCTTCTCGAGCCTTCATAATTACTTCCACTGTGACGGGGCTCTCGTGGTTATCAAATATTAGCAGCGACGGATTTGTTTTGGAACGGGACGGCTGCTATATTTGACAAAATGTTCTAACACTTGTAAAAAAAGTTCTGCTGTCATCCAGCCTGAAGGGTTAGCTAGTCCCAGGGTACCACGAGGTGCTCCATTAAGCATGTGCTCTTTAAAGAATTTACGTGGAAACACCATTACTGGTGGACAGTATGTGCCAAGGGCGGATATTATGCAACAGGTGGTAACTAGTATACCATTTTCACCACTAGTACAGCTATTTACTTGTTTAATGCCTTTTTTAGTTACAACTTTTTTGAGGTCGTGAACAGTTTTTGTGCTAGTTTCATCGAGAATAAAAATACTTGAACTCTCAATAAAAATAGAATATTTGTTTAGATAATAAATAAACTAAAAAACAATAAAGCACCAGGAACGGACGGAATTTCGGCGGAATTATTAAAGCATGGAAGATCCGAACTCTGGAAAAGAATCCAATATCTAATAACATTAATATGGACGAAGGAGAAAATGCCAGAGGAATGGACAGTTGGCCTCATACAGCCAATATATAAAAAAAGAGATAAGAGGAAATGCCAGAAATATAGGCCAATTACATTGCTAAATGTAATATACAAAATTATTTCTGGTATAATCTAAAATAGATTATTAAAATACTCCGAAAATATAATTGGTGATTATCAAAATAAATTTAGACCAAATAAAGCCACTACAGATAACATATTCATACTAAGAACGATACCAGAAAAAGCTTATGAATACGACATAGACCTATGTATATAGATATATGTATATAGACTTTAAACAAGCTTTTGATAGTGTGAAAAGAGACATAATGCTGGAAGACCTTTGTAATCTAGGTATACCTAAGAAATACATCAGCCTCATAAAAATGACGTTGCAGGGTTCAAAAGCCTCAGTCAGAGTAGATGGAGAACTGACTCCCCTGTTTAACATCAACATGGGAGTAAGACAGAGAGATGCCCTATCAACCATGCTATTCGACCTAGTTCTTGAGGCAGTTATCAGAAAAACCAATATAACCGACCATATAAACACCAAATCAGTACAAATTACTGCATATGCAGACGATGTAGCCATCATTAGTAGGAATAAGCTACGACTAATGGTAGTGTTCAAAGAAATTGATCCTGAAGCAAGAAAAAGAGGTCTCAAAATAAACGAAGCAAAAACGAAGTATATGACAGTTAAAACAATAACTGAGAATGAAAATAATATCACAATAGACAACTATACTATCGAACGAGTGGTTGCCTTTACATATTTCGGCACAGAAATCAATCAGAAGAACTCCGTAAGTAGCGAAATTAATGCACGTATTTCCAGCGGGAATCGTACATACTATGCTAATAAAAGATTGATGGCATCGAAATTATTAGACAAAAGAACCAAAATGACTATCCTCAGAACACTGATTAGACCCGTAGTAACCTATGGATGTGAAACTTGGGTAATGACGAAAAAAGATGAAGCCCAACTCAGGACATTCGAGAGAAAAATACTGAGGAAAGTATATGGCCCGGTACAAGAGAAAGATGGCACATGGAGAATCAGGAGAAACGACGAGGTTAATGAGTTAAATGAAGGTTATGACATTGTAAGATTTGTGAAAAGTCAAAGACTGTCATGGCTGGGACATGTGCAGAGACAAAACGATGCAAAAACAACAAAGAAAATGTTACAATGGACGCCCATAGGAAGGCAAAAAAAAGAAAGGCCCAGAACGAGATGGTTGGATAACGTGGAAGACGACCTGAAAACAATGAACTTAAGACAATGGAGAAGAAGGGCACAAGAGAGATCTGAATGGAAGGACATAGCCAGACAGGCAAAGACCCATCCTGGGTTATGATGCCAAAAGAAGAAGAATTTGTTTAGGATGTTGTGAAGAATATCAAAAACAGCTGAACGTTGTGCCGCCCGCTTAAAAAAAGTTAATCGTGCCAAGCTACATGCTTTAGGTTGTCGTATGATGAACTTTTTTCTTTTTATAAATGCACAAAGCCAGTCGATACCGGCTATTCTACGTTCTGTCCATGATTTTGTAACCTTCAATTTGTTTACTTTAGCTATATCAAATGCGATGCATCTTACACCTACAGGCTGTACGTCATATAACTGCAAGTTTTATTATAATTACACAGAATATCTTCCTGTTCATTTGTAAAAATTTTGTTCACCGAACAATTTGATTGGTAAAATTTCAGGATTTTTTCTTAAAATATTCTTCTGCACATATCTCTTTGGGCTTGTCTTAATAATCATATTTTATCATTGACAGCATTAACAGCATTGGACATCTGTTCAGCAGACATCTTACCACTTTTGTGTGGAGCATTCAGTTTTCTAGGCATCTGCAACAAAAATCGTATTATTATATTTAGGTAATTGTTATTATGTTCATTTGTGGTGCACAGTGAGACAGTCCCACTATGTACCAGTAATTCTTGTCTCACTGTATACTGCTGGACTTTATTTGAATTTAACCATTCTGAAACATTATAAGTTATAAGTTATAAACATCAACATACCTTGTACACCTAATGCGCCAATATTCAGCTGAGATCACTCAATAATTGCTTATAATTTCAACAAAATATTCTTCTGAATATTGGTTTAAATGTAACTTTATACTATCAAAAACACTTTTTAGTTAAACACATTTACTCTATACGCTATATTGCAAAAATAACTATATTAGTGACATTTGTGATAAGTAATAGCCCTTCTTAAGTGGATTAATAAAGCAAATGAAAGAAAACTTTTAAATTTAAATTGGTTGTCTTACTATGTACCGCATCTCACAGTGTATTACCTTCCCCTTTTTACATTTGTGTACTCACAGTTGCGTCATATACTATATTAAAATTAAAATAAATGTCAAATCATGAATGTGTTGCTTGTGTGAGTCCATTTCAAATAGGTAAAAGAAATAATAAATAAGACTTACTGGCAATCAATTTAATTTAACTATCCAGACGACCGGTTTCGCTTTCTACACTATGTAAAGCATCTTCAGGTCTCAATACACAGTTAAATAAATGCTGAAATAATAAAACTCATATAAGGTTGTTGTCTAATAAAGATAAACAAAGATAGATGATATAAATTACAGTAATTATGCCAATATTACATGTCTGTGGTTTTTCAAAATTAATAAAATGTTTAAGCAGACAAGGTAAGACCCACAAATTGGTATAAAATAGTCTATTAAATTGTAATAAATTAATAAATGAACAAATAAATAAAACATTACTTACATGCCGGTACTCTATTAATTTATGGTTGGAAGAACATGGTTCAAACTATCCTGTATTGTTGAATGAAGAACTTAAGTCTGCTATTGTAATTGTTTGACAATAGACGGGGAAGTTCTTAAGGAGATAGATTTTATTTAATGAAGTAGAGATAGGTGTAATGTGATTGTTTGTTTGATGAAAGTGATGTGATAACATTGAGTTATTTAAAAGTTATTTATATTTATTCAAAAGATATATTTATGAAATGTGTGTTATTTATTGAGATTTTATTTGTGTGGGTGTGCAATTCTTTCAACTTGTAATTATCAAATTTCTTTGATAAAGTTCTATTGACATATATGGCAAATTATTGCAAAGTCAAGTATATAAAATTAATAAAGTTAAAACCATTAAGGACAATTTAAGACACACAGAAAATACTTAAAAGGGGGGGACGAAACATAAATTTAAAAAAGCAAGGACTTGAATGCACTACATCTCTTAATTGGAGACAATGAGTTTTTATGTTTTCTATTAGATTTTAGAGGTAAATTTGACAAATTTAGGTTAAAGTGTGACAATTCTTCTTCTATTACTAAATACTGTAAGTTAAGTTATCCAGTTTTATAAAATAAGCTGATATTAATGAATGTCTCTAATTTTTTTTTTTAATTTTAGATATCAAAGTTTGTTGATGTGTTTAATATTGGTATACTTTAACAATCATTAAATATTTAAATTTCAATGTAACAATATGAATAATTGAAATACATCTTCTATTAACTCAATTTAGTCAAAATTACAGAACAAACTTTTGAAAAACCACAGACATGTAATATTGGCATAATTACTGTAATGTATATCATCTATCTTTGTTTATCTTTATTAGACTACACCCTAATATGGGTTTTATTATTTTAGCATTTATTTAACTTTGTATCGAGACCCGAAGATGCTTTGCATATTGTTGAAAGCGAAAGCGGTCAAATTAAATTGATTGTAAGTCTTATTTATTATTTCTTTTACCTATTTAAAATAAATGTATTTTTGTAAGTACATGTATGTAACTTACTATTTATATTTATATATATATATACAATAGCACTAAAGGCCTTAGAGGCCCATGGCTTAAAAAATGTTGTTCTTTCTTCATTTTCGCTTTCCTTTATGTACTGAGATCTACTCTGGCTCGATATGTGACTTTTCTCCATTCCTTCTTGTTATTCATTTTTCTTTTCTGGTCGTCTAGTCCAATTTCTTCCATATCTTTTTCTACCTCCTGATTCCATCTATTTTTTGGCCTTCCTTTTCTCTTTTTTGAAGTTATATTGTAGTTTAGTACCCTTTTTGGAGTCCTCGTGTTTGGCATCCTTTCTAGGTGACCTCTGCGCCATCTTAGTCTCTGTGCCTTTATGACTCCTATTATGTTAGGTTGATTATATAATTTCTTTAACTCATCATTTGATCTTCTTATCCATAAACCATCCCTTATTATTCCTCCATATATATTCCTCAAGATTTTCCTTTCCCATATCTCCAGTAGATTTTGTTCATTTTTTGTCATTGTCCACGTCTCACTGCAGTATGTTGCTATTGGTTGTATAGTTGTTTTGTATAACTGTATTTTTGCCTTTCTTGATAAAAACTTGCTTTTCAACATTCCACTAAGAGCATGTACACTTCTATTGCCTGCCATTATTCTAGCTTGTATTTCTTCTTTAATGTTAGGTTTACGTGATATTATTGTACCTAGGTATGTAAATCTTTCCACCATTTCGAATTCGTATGATAATCTTTCTTCCACTTCTACTTTAAACTTTTGTCCATCCCTAAACTGATCATCTGTCCACTGCATACATTTTGTTTTAGTTTCATTTATGTAAAGTCCCATTTTCTTTGCTGCTTTTACTATTCTCTGTATTATCTCCTGCAGCTCTTTTTTTTCTCTTGCCAGCAACACTACATCATCCGCAAATGCCAAAACTTGGTGTCTTTTATGACATAGGAGTCCTTCTCTATTAATTCTCGCTTCTCGCATTATTTTTTCTAGGCATAAATTGAAGAGTAATGATGACAAAGGATCGCCCTGCCTTAATCCTTCGTTTACTATAAATTTGTCCGATGCATGATTGTTGACTTTGACTCTGTTTTCTGTATTCTCTAAAGTAAGATGTATCATGTTACGCAACTTTCTGCTAACTTCCAGTTCCTCAAGGGTCTCTTTTAATTTCTTCCTTTTTATTCTGTCGTATGCTTGCTGGAAGTCGATGAATAGCGCTATCGTTGGTAAGTTGTGTTCATAGCTTTCTGCTTGTAACTCTTTTATTATGAATACTTGGTCCGTTGTGCTTCTCCCTCGTCTAAATCCACACTGGTATTCGCCTATTATATTTTCAGCTTCTTTTTCCAGCTTATCTTTTATCGATTTTGATAGGATTTTATATATGGTATTTAGTAACGCTACTCCTCTGTAATTACTGCATTCTGTTTTGTCTCCTTTTTTGTGTAATGGACAAATAATGGCTTCCTTCCAATCTTCTGGTATTCATTCTTTTATCCATATCTCTTTTATGATCTTGCATATCCAATTATTTAGCAGTTTTCCACCATATTTCATCATCTCTGCTGTTATGTTATCACTTCCAGGGGATTTGTTGTTTTTCAGATTTTTTATGATTTCCTCGATTTGTTTTTTGCTGGGTGAATTATCTTCTATGTCGTCTATGTGTTCAATTCTTGCTTCTGCTTAAATATATTCTCTTTGGTTTGACTTATTATTACCATTTAGTAATTCATCAAAATACTATTTCCATCTTTCGACTATTTCTGCTTCCCCGCTTATATTATTTCCTGCTTTGTTTTTAACGAATATGGGTTTTTGTTGGAAACCTTTTTTTTTTTCATTTCTAGCACCTTGATACAGGTTTTTTATTTTTTTATTTCTGTAATTCTCTTCTATTTCTTTTAGCTTATTTTCTATGTCTTTTCTCTTCTTTTCTCTCAACACCCTCTTTACTTTTTGTCTTTGCTCCCTATATCTATTCTTTGTCTCTATTGTTTCTTTCGTGATCATTTCCATCCTTAATGATTTTCTTAGTTCTATTTCTTTTTGGCACTCTACGTCGAACCAGTCTTTCTGGTTCTTTTTATTCTCTTGTTTATCACATTCTTTTGCTGCTTTGTTCATTATTTGCTTTATGTTTTCCCATTTGTTCTCAGTTTGCTCTTCTATTTGTATCTTTTTTAGTTCCCTTTCCATTGTTTCCTCGTATATTTCTTGCTCTTTTTTTGTTGCTAATCGAATTGGGTTATGTATACATTTCTTTTTATTTATTTTGTTTTTGTTTTCTGGTATCAGTTGCTTAATTTTGATACCCACCATGTAGTGATCTGAGTCAGCGTCTGGTCCTCTGTATGTTCTTATCTTCTTTATACATTGCTGTTCCTCTTTTTCGATGAGCACGTGGTCTATTTGGTTTTTAGTCTTTCTATCTGGCGATATCCATGTTTCCTTGTGTATTTCTTTTCTTTCGAAATATGTGCTCATTATGATCATATTTTTTTCTCTTGCGAAATCTATCAGGAATTGTCCGTTCTCATTAGTTTCATTGTGTTTACTATATTTTCCTATTGTCGGTCTAAATACTTCTTCCTTCCCTTTATATTTATACAATTGCTAAATATTTCTTTGTTTTAATATATATTTTTGAGTCTCACGCACAAGGGATGCTACTTTTATAGTAGCTCCAATTCAGTGAGTTTTTATCTTTATTTATATTAAGTATGCTTTTTGTTTCTTGTAATCTATATTAGCTTCCTAAATACAAAAACATTATTATTATTATCCCAGATTTAGCCATACGGCTCACACTCCCTCTAAGGGGAAAATTCACTCATCCCAGATACCTACGGTATCAAAAGGATTGACCTCTGGTGGGACTCTTTCCATTTTATCGAGTCCTAGGTGACTTGGTACGTCGGTGTATCTTCTAAAAATTTTCGCACACATCTGGACGTCAAAAGTAGCACAGCTTTCTGCATGACCTTATATAGATGTTCGTTTAGACCCAGCTTTTTTATGTTTTCTAGGAGGTTCTTCGGAATGACTCCAGTGGTAGAAAGAATAATAGGTATCGTCTGGGTACTTTCCATTCTCCATTGTCTTCTTATTTGTATTTCCAGATATCTGTACTTGGCGATCTTTTCGTTGTACTTAACACGCAGATTATTGTTGTTAGGTATCGCCACATCAATTAGAGTTGTTTGTCTTGTTATTTTATTAACTAGCGCGAGATCTGGTCTATTATGTGCTACAGTTTGGTCTTTGAGCACAGTGCGATCCCAGTATAGCTTGTAGTTGTCATTCTCAAACATACTTTCTGAAACGTATTGATAATATGGGAGATGGTTTGTTTGTAGAAGTCCCAGTTTAATAGCTATCTCTTGATGAAGGACTTTTCCTACTGAGTCATGCCGTTCCTTATATTCAGTGGCAGCAAATGCCTAGCAGCCTCCGGTAAGATGTTGGATCGTTTCTTAAGCTTGACATCCATATCGACATTTGTCGTTTTGGACCTGAGAGTTTTTGACAATATATTTTAGGCAATTTTTGGTTGGTATAACCTGATCCTGAATGTCGAGTAATGAACCTTCTGTTTCAGGGAACATCTTTCCTGATGTCAGCCAATAGTTCGACGCTATATTGTCGACATAGTCTTGACTGATTTCATTCGGATGTCGCCAGTGCAGAGGATTACCCATCCAGATGCGCATTTTTTCGATCTTAGTAAGATGGTTTATGCGCATTTCTTGTTCCCTTAGGTTGATCGGGTGTTGTGTCATCTACTGCGCAAATCGCGCGATGAAGAGTAGATGTCTCCGCCTGTACCTGAAAATAAGTTCTTAAATTATTAATCTGTTTATCTAATTGCTCGCTTATATCAATAAGTCCTCGTCCTCCTAAATACCTTGGTAATGTCGTTCTTTCTACTGCACTTCGAGGATGGTGTTTTTGTCCCTTTGTGAGGTGTTTTCGTACTTTTCTCTGAAGACTTTCTATATCCGTTTTAGTCCACTTAATAATGCCAAATGAGTAGCTAAGCGTGGAAAATGCGTAAGTAGGTGTTTAATGCCTTAAACAAATTTTTACTATTAAGATGTGAGCGGAGTAGCTGTTTTACCCTTCGTATGAACTCTGATGTTAATTCTATTTTCATTTATTTATGGTCAATTTTCCGCGCTTGCTTTACTCCTAGATATTTATACATGTCATTTTCGCCCATAGCGTCGATGTTTTGGCCATTTTGCATATCGAATCCCCCGGGCTGAACCTTTCCGTTGACTATATTTAGTACACGACATTTGTCTAACCCAAAGTGCATACTGATATTATTTGAAAAAGTTTCTAGAGTTTTTAGCATTTGATCTAAGTTCTGAGTTCGAGTGGAAGCCATTAGTTTTAAATCATCCATATACAACAGATGATTAAGCTTCGCCACTACAGTGTTGTTGTTTTTAATGCTAAAACCTGAGTCAGTGGAGTTCAATAGCTGGGATAGATATTATTATTATCTATGACCATAAAAAAATATTTCACATTGAAATACATGTTTAAAACATTTTTTTTTCGGGATAGCATAGGGAAAATATATATTAAATATAAGGTCACATTAAAAAAATTGCTGTGTTTTTAACATAAATATATAATATGTTGTATTTAAAATATTAACTAGTCTTTTTATAATTAATTGATTACATTTTTTTTCAGATCCTCCCGTTATAACTGTTGGTCCAAAATATGCAGTTGTTAACGAATCCACGGAACAGAACACCACGAGCGCATTTCTTAATTGTGTCTATTTTTCAAATCCTCAGAAACTAACATCTGCAGCATGGTAAGTTTGCTAATCGTTGAAGAATTCCTAAAAATATTACTAAAAATATTCATAATTCTCAACTTGTCAATTCTTTAACTTTTTCCTTTTACATATTTTATTAGCTCTCTGGTGTATTTGATCAAAAGTTGTGTTTCTTTTTCTAGTTCTCCTTTCCAAACATTTCTGGTGTGCTTTGTTCTTAAATGGTCCGTTTATAGTTTTTCATTCTGTTTTTTTTCTTTTTTTTTTTGGCCTTAATCTATTTAGCAGCTTTTAATACTTTTATTTTTAATTCTTTCTAATGTCCTTCACTATCTAGATTGTCTGCATTGGTGAGTAGACTAGAAAAAACGACTACATTTGAACTTGAGAGGTGGTATTCTGATGTTTTCAGAAAAAATTGTGTAATAATAATATTAATAATTGACTTTCCTTTCCTCTCAAGTAGGTCGGAAATATTAATAGAAATATCAAAATATCTAGATATGATTAAAAACGTCTTTTTTTCTAATATTTGTGCTCATAACTTTAAAACGAAGAAAAAAACTTTTCAACGATGTATTTATGCCCTTATAGTAAATATGTCTTATTGCAAAAAGTATTTTAATAGTCTAGGGCTTGACATCTCACCTAAGAAGTCTGTTGTAGCATTTTTTTCGAGGCACAGGTTACCAAAAGTTAGTACGTTAAAATTCTCCCAGCTGGAAATTCCTGTACATAACAGTTTTACTTACCTAGGTGTTACCTTACCCTAGAATTAGTATAAAACTTGTAAGCAGTTCGCGAACATATCAATCATGTAATAACCTTTTAATACGAAAAAATGAAAAAAAAATGAGAAAAAAAGAAACAAAAAAAGACAAATAAATAAAAAAAAATATGCAAAACAAAATTAATCTAAAAAATACCAAAACAAAATAAAAAATATATATACATATTACATACAATATCAAAAAAGTAATACAAGGAAATAAAAAAAATATAATATAAAAAAAATTAAAAAAATAAATAAAAAAAATCACAAACAAACAAAAAAAGAAGAGTCAAAACAAGTCAATTCTTTAATTTACTTTTAACTTACATTTAGTTTAGTACTTACTCGAACTCTGATTGTTGTTCTGTGAATACAAATTACAAAACAGTCTAGTCAATTGGATATGCCAAGGCCATTCAAAAAAATAGGTGTTACCTTTTAACGAGCATATTCATAATTGCATTACCAAATGTAAAAAAAGCCTTAATATCCTTAAGGTCGTTAATCGATACTATGGGGAAGCAACCTGAAAATAAACTTATTATTTACAGAGCATATACCAGATCAATTTTGAAATATGGAAGCTTTTTCTATTGATTAGCGACAAAATCTCGTTTGATTAAATTGGATAAAATAAAATACAAAGCTTCAAGGTTAGTCCAAGACTCTCAAAGACACCTTTACATGTAAGACGTCTATTTTTGGCAGAAAAATTTATTCTTAAATAACACTTTCATATTTAAAAGAGCTTATTACAAAAAATATCTTGTCTCTCTGTTGAAAATATAACAAACAAATGGTGGACAAATAAAAACCCTCCAACTCTAGCTGTCGCTTTTCCCAATTTATCACAATATTCATTCAATGGAGAAGGAATTTCATTCTTTGTTTCATGAGAATTTCTTTATCTATTTTAATTGTTCATGAAGATTTAGTAATACAGAACAAGCTGAAAGACTATAACCATTTTTGTTAAATTTATACCGATAGCTCAAAATCGCCTGTGGGTGTTTTATGTGCCATTTACATAGGTTATATTCAAGAATATTTTCAGTACAAATTAAATTCAGATTGCTTAATATTCACAGCTGAATTGGTAGCCATTGTCAAGGCGTTGGATTGGATAATTAATAGCATAGTATATTTCGAACGATATATATTTTTATCTGACTCACAGTCCATCCTCCTTGCATTAGGACACTTCTCTAAACACATATATACCAACAGACTAATCCTAGATGCGCTTGAAAAGATCAGAACCCTGACTCCTCTAAAAAGAATTGTTAACTTGTGTGGAGACCATGTGGCTAAATACGCTACTTTAGTGGGTCTAGAATACTACGAGTTGTCCAAATGGGATTTAGTTGCAACTAGGAAGAAACATACTTAGGGCACATATTACGAGGAGAAAGATACACTTTTCGGCAACTGATACTCGAAGGAAAGATAGAGGGTAGAAGAGGTCTGGGACGTAAAAAATGTCATGGCTGCGCAATATTCGACAATGGACAGGAATCCACAGCTATGAAATGCTTCGCAATGCTGCTAAAAACAGAATTATTTAATCATGAATATTTAACATCTCACCTGACAAGACGATGTACGGTAGACGTCTACGCAGAAATTCACGGCACCTTAAGAAGAAGAAGAAGGAAGAAACATGTTAAACTTATAAACTGCGTTAGGCTTTCACGGCCATCGTCTAACTTGTAAAACTGTTTGTTCGGGCTATTAGGCCGTTGTCTTCTGAGATTCGTTCTCGACGTTTCGCCAACACTAGACGTTGGCATCTTCTGGAGATGTTAATGCTTCGCTTGTAAGCAGAAAATGACGCTGCGTTGTAAAGGACCTTGAGTTTTAACCTTGTTTAGGCTTGAGCCTCTTCAAGTAATGGAGAACTCCTTTTCTTTTAATGAAGTTGTGGGGGTGTGAGAAAACGTCAATTAATCGAAATGCGAACCAAAAAGTAGGAGACTACTAAGGAGCACGGGGAAAAGAAGGTGGTTGTATGTGTGATCGATAAGAATCGATAGAACGCACAAGAAGTGGGATCTGCCTAGCATGCCGTGTAAGGTACTTCAAGGGTTACCAGCCATATAGTAGGAACGGCTCTTTATTAACGTTAGTGGCGCTAATAAAGAGCCGTTTCTTAGTAGTCTACTACTTCTTGGATCGCGTTTTGATTAATTGACGTTTTCTCACACCCCCACAACTCTGTTAAAAAAAGGAGTTCCCCATTCCTTAAAGATGCTCAAGCCTAAACAAGGTAAAAACTCAAGGTCCTTTACAACGCAGCTGGTACTACGGACTCAATATTTATATTTCCCACTCGCCTCCCCTCCGGTGTTTGTAGTAGCTTTTCTTACTTACGTGGAGGTAGCTCCACCGCTTCCCGATACAACCGTGGGTGGTACTTTGAAGTTTTGTTTAGCATCTGAATTTCTTCAAACAGTATCCGATGTTCTTCGCTTCCCAAAGCGTGTTCGGCAACGGCAGATTTGTCGATATGTCCTAGAAAGCCATTGTCGTTTAATATATTCAGGTAGTCGAAATCCAACTATTAGATCGATATTGTTAGAATTTTTCAAACGTACCAAACGGAAAGTCTAAACTGCCTTTTTTAGTGTTGTGCAAATCCGAAATGGTAGGACGTTAGTTGTAGTATTTTCCATTGTCTTTTATTTTATGTCATTTACCTTTAATCGTTGCCTGTATTGTTTGTGTAAAAAAAATTGCTATGAAGGACACCTTAGCGTGAAACGTGTTTTTTTAAGCCCCTTTCTCTATACTCTCTTAATTCTCTCCATTCATCTCTGTTGTTTGTAAGACGTTTGCACATTGGCCCTGCAGTTCTTTTATTATCGTCGCTTCATCGCATTTGCGGTCTTCCTCGTAGTCTTTTGGCTTCATATGGCCGCCAATTCCCGATTTCTTTATTCCATCGGCCATCCGTAAAACGTTGGTTATGTCCAGCCCATTTCCATTTTAGTTTAGCTGCTTGTTCGACAGCATGTTCGTGAAGCATGTGTTCTTGTTCAATCCTTTTTGTATAGTCACCTAATAGTATTTTCAATGGGAAGGTTAGGAAATTGAGTAAATGAACCAATGGTTAGGAAATTGTCAGAAATGAATTTAAAGGAAATGTAGAAGTTGATTGTTTTTACGCATTCATTCAATTGTCTGACTAAATAGGTCTTGAACCTAAGGCAAAAAAAAACTTTTAAAAAAACGATTTAGTTTGGAGCAAAGTCGTAATTGGTTATTATTGTAATTGTTTTTATGTCGTTTCTTGTATTTCAGCTAATTCTATTTTAGATTTGCCAAGTTTATTGGGCTGTCATGCTTAAGCTTTTGATTTTTTCAATGTGAAAATCTTTATACCGAAATAATGATCCATGTTGCTTTCTCTGATTCGTCAACGATAAAACGGTCCTATGCGAGGCTTGTTTGTAGGTCTTGTGGTCGCAAGTTTCGTTAAGAGCATGAAAGTGGCCCATTACCCAACTCTTCTTTACCTGGGCTAAGGACCGGCAGTGACAGCGTAACTTAACAATCCACCCACGAGTATAAAAGGCGGAATTCGTAGTAAAGCTTATATGAATACACTAACTAATTGAACAATATACTAATGTTTTTCCTTTTCCAGGTTAAAAGACGGGAAACCTCTTCTTTTGAACGACACCAAAAAATTCATCGGGGGAACGATATCGAATCCTCCCTTGTATATCACGAACGTAACTAGAGAAGACTTGGGGGAGTACACTTGTGCATTGGGAAACGAAATTGGAACGGAAACATCCGAAGAGAGTTTATCACTAAATGTTATATGTAAGTAAAAATTCTTTAACAGATATTGCAAAACGTGACGAGCGATATATTAAACTGAAAATTAAGGAACACGAAGTAGGGGATGGAAAAATGTAGAAAAATTTGCAACTTTTTTGCGAATAAAATTTTAGATACAACTTCCACTGTACCTCTACAAAATTGCGATATGATATTGGCAATATGAAATTCTTTTAAACTTAAATGCAGTACTTCCATTTACGTGTTGAGTGTTAAAGAAATAAGTTTAACATTGACTGAAATACAGTGCAATCAAATATTTCACAAATTTTTTTTAATCTTTTTGTGTAAAATTGTCTATACCCATAATAAATAAATGATGTTAAGACCTAAAATATCTGGTCGTCTGTATATTCTAAAAGTAACAAGATAACCTTAAAAATCTGTTTTCTTCTCATAGTAATTATCAGTTCAACGCAGTTACTTACTTAAAGATTTGATTCTATAGTGAAAATTCAAATGTGCTACATTACATACAGGTGAAAGTTTACAGCTGACATCACTCATCATAATCAATTAGCCTATATTTGTCCACTGCTAAACGTAGGCCTCCCGTAAAATGTTCCACCTATTTCTATTTTGAGCTTCTTGCATCCAGTTTGTGCTGATGCGCTTGATATCATCAGTCTATCTAGTCGGTGGTCGTCCTCTGCTTCGATATGCATCTTGCCTTGGTCGCCATTCCAGAATCTTTCTGGTCCATCTATCATTTGTTAATCTGGCGACATATCCGGCCCAAGCCCATTTAGCCATGGCTAGGTTTTCAACTGCACATGACTACTTCAACCATACTTCAACATTTTGAGCCAGCGTTGCCGAATACCTGGTATTATATTATATGTCTATGGTTATATTCACAGACGCAAACCACTTCCTGCATCTCTTTCTGATTTGCCAGGTTTATGGACTACGTGACCTAAACAACCAATGAGAAGGTCTCGATAAAGCCGGCCCATAAGACAGAGATATATTGGGACTGCTTTGCTTCAAATTTTTCTGTCGCACTGGGAGAACGAGATTGTATTGCAGCAAGCATTATTTCTTTATAGGCTACCTCATTATGAGCAGTTGTTGATTTATTATTCTATTAAGTAGAATAGTAGAAAAGATCTTGTATACCCCTTTAATTGGTAGTTTTCTGTTAAACATAAAATAGATTTTTATATTTTAAAGAATAATATATCTCCATGTTTAAACTTTTTTATAAAACATTATAAATTTTTAAACATTTAACATTAAACATTTTTAAATAAAGCGCTGTGGAAAACTATTAAAGAACAAATGAACAATGTAACGGAAAAACATCTAAAAGTAACACCTAGAAATAACAAACAGGAATGGATGACAGAAGAGATTGTACAATTAATGAACAAACGAAGAGAATCTAAAGGAAAAAATGACAAAGACGGAGAATACAAAAGACTAAATAGAATAATTCGAAAAAAAATAACCGAAGCAAAAGAGAAATGGCTGAAAACAAAATGCGTTGAAATAGAAGAACTGCAACAAAGGCACGATTTTTTTAATTTACATAAAAAGGTAAAAGAGTTTACATCGACTACCAAGAGAACGACTTTTCGCACCATGCTGAACACGGATGACAAACTGCTAGAATCAACGGAAGATAAACTGAAAGAATGGGAAAACTATATTAAAATTCTTGTTCACGACATACGAGAAGAACCAAGATTGGAAAATAACAACGAAGGGCCAGCAATTCTAAAATCTGAAATGCAATTAATCATCTCAAAACAAATAAAAGCCCAGGTCCAGACGGAATATACCCAGAAACGTTTAAATTAATCAGCGAAGAAAATATCGAAATAGTTGTCCTTTTATTCAATCGCATTTATAATACAGGTAAAATACCCCAAGATTGGCTGGAGTCAATATTCATTTCACTACCAAAAAAGCCAAACCCACAACACTGCAATGAGTTCCGTCTGATAAGCCTTATGAGTCATGCAGTAAAAGTCCTACTAAAAATCGTACATAATCGTATCTATAAAAAGTGCGAAACAATCATCGGAGACGATCAGTTTGGATTCAGAGCCGGCATGGGAACGAGAGAAGCCCTGTTCAGTTTACTAGTTGTCGCCCAAAAATGCTACGACCAACAGAAAAATATATTTATATGCTTTATAGACTTCGAAAAAGCATTTGATAGAGTAAGACACGACCTACTATTAGAACGTTTGCAAGAAGTCGGTTTAGATGGAAGAGTCATCAAATTATTAAAAAACTTGTACTGGAACCAAAACGCCAGAGTTAGGATCGAAGATTCCACATCCGCAGAAAAAGAAATTAAGAGGGTAGTTAGACAAGGATGTATTCTGTCGTCTCTGCTGTTTAATCTTTACTCCGAGTTTCTATTTAAAGAAGCATTGGAGGATTCCAAGGATGGAGTCAAGGTAAATGGCGTAAATATCAACAGTATCAGATACGACGATGATACAGTGTTAATTGCGGATTCCGACTCAGGTCTACAACGACTCATCGACAAGACCAACTCGACTTGTGAGCAATTTGGTATGAAAATAAACATTAAAAAAACCAAAGTGATGTTAATCCGAAAAAAACACAACGTACCTCAATCTTCTACAATAAATGGGCACATCTTAGAACAGGTCAATAGATTTAAGTACCTGGGATGTTGGATCGATAGCAGCCTAAATCCTGATCAAGAAATAAGATCGAGAATAGAACAGGCCAGAAAATCTTTCGAAAAAATAAAAAAAACTGCTTTGTGATTCGCGAATAAAACTCGAAATTCGACTACGTTTATCAAAATGCTACGTCTGGTCGACTCTTCTATATGTAGTTGAAACGTGGACCCTTAAAACATCAACCATAAATAAATTGAAGTCTTTTAAAATGTGGATCTACCGGAGAATACTCAAAATTTGATGGACATCGCACACCTCAAACGAAGAAGTGCTGCATGGAATAGACAAGGAAAGAGAACTTTTTAACACAGTAAAAGTTAGAAAAACATCATACCTAGGCCACATACTAAGAAATAATAAGTACCAATATGCCCAACTTATAGTGAAAGGAAAAATCGAGGAAAAGAGAGGCCTAGGAGGGAAAAGACTATCGTGGCTCAGAAACATCGGACAATGGACAGGGCTAAATTTTGAACAGATAATAAGAACAGCTGAAGATAGAGAAGAGTTTAAAATTGTAGTAGCCAACCTCCATTGAGGAGAGGGCACTTTAAGAAGAAAAAGATAAAGGGGGGTCTAGAATCTAGAAAGATATATAAATAAAGACATATCAGTCCAGGACGTCGCCTGACTGACCTTAGTGCAGGATTTGTTTTCATCCACAGACTGTCACCAACAAGGCACCCTGTCTCGTTCCAGGTAGCGCGTGGAAAACCCCTTATCTCTTTTAGTACGACATCACTCCCAGAAGGACATTTCCTCCTTCCCCACAGTCTGACTCACACATTCGAACTCATACAATCTGACGCACATTTTTATCTTCAACTTCCAGCATCTTTCCCTCTTACCTTTGCCCTTGGTCCAGCTGTCTTCCTTCCCTTTCTTTTCTTTTATCACTGCACGGATATAGTTGTGTACTCTAGTCCAACCTATTTTATTTTCAATTATTCTCTCAATCATTTCTCTCACTATAACAAAACTCACACCTATCTCTCTTTCCATTCTGTTCCTTCCTACTATTTATCTGTTACACTCTAACAACGTATGTGTCACAGTGTCCGAGTGTCCACAGTATAGGCATTCATCTGTGTTAGCCTTTCTGAACCTAGAGAGGTAGGCCCTTAAACACCCGTGTCCTGTGAGCACCTGCGTCAGGATATAATCTATTCGTCTGTGTCCACAGTCCACCCAATCTTTAATGTTTGAGATCAGCATTTTTATCCACTTTGCCACATCCTGCATGTTGTTCCATTCTTCTTGCTATCTTTCCCTTTGACCTTTTTATTTCCTGTCATCTGTCGGCCATAGTAAGGTTTGGCTTTTCTCTAATAGAACTCTTTTCTTTCCACCACACCTACTCCGCCACCACATTCATCAGGTAACCAGGACATTCTCTCTTCTCCATTGTCTTCATTACCTTGTTGGACTGCAGCATTTTGAATGCATTCCTAACATAGAAAACCAGCAGGGCCGCCCAATGATGTTCATCATCTTCAGTGCTTAGAGTACACTCACGATTGCATTAATCGTGCGTTTTCCTTTACAAAAACCAAATTACCTCCAAGATAAACCACCTGACCGCTCAATCTTGTTGTCTATGCGTACTTGCATCATCCTTTCATACTGCTTACCGATGCATTGAAGAAGACAGATGGGTCAATACTTTTTCACCGTCTTGGGGAACAGTACTAACCTCGATGTCCTTCACGGCTCAGGAAAGATTTGTGCTTCCAGCAGTGCATTTATGTGTTCCAGAAGCCACGCAGGCTCCGCCCATCCTAGACCCTTCACTGCCTCACGTGTGAACCCAATGTTTAAACTTAACTTTTGTTTACAGTGAAGTTAATATTTATATTTGACTTTCTTTCAGATACTCCGGATGTTGAAGTGGTGATGGAACCTTTTGCACCAGTTAAAGCAATCGACAAAAGAACAGTACTGATTATGTGCAATGTAACTTCTGGGAATCCTTCGAATTTGCTCAAGGTATGTTTTTTAATTTTGTATATTTTCATACTAGAATAAACTATTGGTTATAATCTAGATTAGTCTGCGACCTACAAGAATAGTTTTTTTTGGGTACATATTAAAAAAATAGATATACGTATATCGAAAATAAAAAATTATCAAAAAGCGAACATTCGGTAGCGAAATAGAAACTACCTTAATAAACCTCGACCAAAAAAATTGGTTTTAGTTAACTCAAATGCAACAATTAATACATTTTAATTACTTAACTGCATATACTCTATACTATGTTCCATTTCCTTGGTTGTTAACAATCTAGAACCCCAATGAGTATGCTTGACATTTAAATCACCATTAATTAAACATTTAAAAATATTTTGCCATGTTTATTCAAAAATTCTAAATAAGATTTTTTTGAGGTTATATTTTGGTGAAGTGTACACAGCAGCAACGATAAACTAAAAATAGTTTGTAACACATACTGGACTAGCGTAAACCATTTTTTTTTATAGTTTATTATTTGTGATAATCTAATAGTTTCTTTTTTTATGAGAGCACTGTAACTTCTGGTTCCATTATCAGAATATAAAGTCTGATACAGTGCGTTAAGTTTTGGATTAGGTATACACTCTATAAATGTACTTCGACTTCCCACTACATATCTGCTTCGTTGACTCGTCGTTGCTCGTCGCCCGTCGGCAAATTTGTCATATTGTTAATTGTTATTATACCGTGGTTGTTTAAAGGTATAACAGCGTAGAGTGTTCATTTATTTTTGTAAACATGTCTGTTTATATGGCCGCGGAAAAAGGTCAAATAATAAAATGGTTTTATAGTGGCAATTCTGCGCATCAATGTGTAGATTTATTTTCTGTGTTTTTTGAGGGAAGACCAATTCCTTGTGTACAGTCAATTTATAATATTGTTAAAAATTTTGAGAGTTGTTATTGCCTCAAAAATTGCAGAAAATGTCACGCTCAAGAAGTGTTACCAGAAAAAGTTGAGGAAAGAGAATACCGGGATACACAAATGTGTGCAACAATCGAGGTAGATTCAACACGTTCAAGTAGAAGCATTGCTAGAGAGTTAGATGTTAGCAATGTTACTGTAACGAAAGTATGGAAAAAGCACGGTTGCAAGAATTTTAAATATTCGAAAACGCAGCAGCTTTATCCAGACGATTAATTTCGAAGAATGTAGTTTTGTGAAACTCTAATAACGAAGGCTAATAGTGAACCAAATTTTATTAAAAACATTTTATTCATTGATGAATCTTCTGTTTCGTTAGTAGGGAGACACAATCCTTCCATTACGAGGTATTGGGCGCGGGAAAACCAGCACAGAAGTGTTGTTTACCGAACTTAACGTCCTCAAAAAGTTAACGTCTGGACTGGCATTTTAGGAGACCACATACTTTCCCGAATCAAGTTATCAGTGGAACAGGCGATATTAAGTGGCCTGCGCGATCTCCAGATCTTACACACATGGACTTTTTTTTGGTTACATTTAAAAAGCATTATCTACGATCATCCTGAGGCTAGAGCCCAAAATTTGGATGAATTAAAAAATCTAATAAGAGAAGTCCACAATTCTGTTACAGCAGAAACTCTTTCATCTCTTCGCAGAAGTTTTTATGACATATTGGGATACTGTTCAGCTCTAGAAAGTCAACTATTTGAACCATTTCTGTAGGTCATAAAGAATTAATTTTTTATTTCATTAGGAATAATATTGTAATTTTCAATAAGAGTATATTTTTTATTTTATCTTTTTAACATGAGATCATGAGATCGGACGACAGAGAAGTACATCCCAAACGTTGTTGTGAGTTACTAAACTAAAATGATTTTCTGTCGGTGCAGATAGTCTCGGGTCGGAGAACGAACATTTGCAACGTTGCCGATTTTAGCGCTCCGTATAGTGTGCAATACCTAATCAAAAACTTAACGCACTGTTTACTTTATATTCTTTAAAAATAATGTACGTTTTATTTGTAAAGTATGATTAGGAAACAAGACAGATATCAATGTGTTTATCATCTAAGAGAGTCTGTAAGTCTTGCTAATTTTATAGTACTCTATTTACATTATATCGCAGTATCCTCAGACTATCTGAAATTAAGGATTTTAGTTATAAATTCCTTTGCGTTATATTCTTATCTAGAAATGCACTTATCTATTTTGTGAGATATCTGCAATATTTTGGTGAATATGCGCAATGGTAGAGTTTTCTTTTTGGTTAGGTTAGGTTAGGTTTGGTTAGGTTTTTAATTTTGTATTTTATCTGTAGCCACTTGGCTGTAGATTTTTTTGACTTCATTGAATGGTTTCCGTATTTCGTTATTCTTTTGAATTCTGCATTTCTTGTGCTACCATGTATCATTTGTAGTTGACTAGTTAAAATTGTTGAATATTAGTGTTTCGCCGTTGCCAATATTCCCCATTTGCAAACAATGAATTCTAAACGTAATATCTTTAGAAATAAGTTACCCAAAGGGAATTTTTGTAAATAAATCTTTTATGTGATTTATTCGCTATATTTATAAATACTATTTAATAAATATATATTCGAAGGCAACATACCAGAACAATGGAATTTTTCTAAAATAATACTAATACACAAAATGGGAGACACCACAGACTTGAAAACTTATCGACCAATTTTACAACTTTACAAAACATTTACAAAGATTATTACAAACAGGTTAACAATTAAATTTTATGGATATAAATCAGTAGAACAAGCCAGATTTAGAAAAGGGTACAGCACCTGTGACCATCTATAAACTTTGAAAATCCTAATAGAAAATACTAACGAATACATTGTCCCATTTTATCTGTCTTATGCTTTTATAGATTATGAAAAAACTTTTATAAAGTTCTTCTCAGAGCCTTTTTTCAGTGCGTCATTATTTGTGACGTCATATACTGTATTGGATGTGTCGAGTATTATTTCATGTAATTATTGAGAATTCTGACACATGCCAGAACCGTACTTACTTTTATTGCAAGGTGGATTAAATAATAGTAAACACTATTGTTTATTAAATTTATAAATAAAAAAATATATATATTAAATATAAATATTTTTTCTGGTAGATGCTTCTTCACAATATCCATCAACTCAAATTTCATGATAGTCATTGAACAATTAATATGTCGGTTTTTCAACCATTCTAATAGAGAATGTTTTGCCCAACTAGCATTTGGTATTTTTTCCACTAAAGCTGAATAGTATGATGCATTATCCATTATAATTAATGACGGTTCTTCTAAATTTGGTAAAAGCTGATGCTTAAACCATTTTTTAAAATTCTCATAATTCATTGAATCATGGTAGTCACCAGATTTACTTCCACTTTTGAAAATCAGTTCACAGTTATCAATGAACCCATTTTCAGAACCTGCATTAAGAATAATGTATCATACACCTTCTCCATTCTTCTTTCTGACTGCATTAACATTACCATCTTGCCAGCTCTTGCGGAATCCTCCTTTGCTGAATATCCAGGTCTCATCCAAGAAAACTGGTTTTAGAGGGTATACATTGGTTTCATTGTCCTTATAGGCTTTTAAGAACTACTGAAGTCTTTTTAAAGTGACATGTGTTTGTTCCATTAAATATTTTCTGTTAGCAACACTACAATTTACCCATCTAAATTTTAATTCCTTTAAAACTCTGCTAAGTGCAGCAATAGAAATATTAATCCCATCCACTTCCTCTAGTTTTTGCTTCAGGGTATGGAGAGTCACATGCTCACCTAAAACGATCAAAGTTTAAAGACACTATAGTGATTCTTCTAGGAAAAATATTAAGAATGTAAACTAACATGTTAGGTTTGATATTAGGAATTTGTCTATTTAAATGCTATATGCAACAGTACTCCTTTCATAAATCGTAATAACCAGATTTAAATAATCCAAAGTATAAGAGTTATAAAAATATATCTATATATTTTACCAAACTGCACAAGGTATACTCCAGCAAAAAGGCAAAGAGGACTCTTAAATCTTTATTTAAATACTTGGTATTTAATTCAGTAGTATTATTTTTATAATCACTTTCCATTTCTATATATTGTATATATGTAACTAGTTGTTAGTAATAATTTATTAAAAGAAATGTCTATGGAAATTAGTTACTCCTGCCTTTCTATCAGAAATATGGTAAAATATTTTAACTAAACTGTTGTAATGCTCTTACCTTTACTAAACATTCTGTATACACACATCCTGATGGCATGTTCGTATTTATTTATTAATAATGTCTGTTTACGACTCGTGGCTACTGATTGGCTCATTGTGATTGAATAATCAGAATCTTTTTGGACACCTTCATTTGCCAATCGTCTTATTGTTGGCAAAGAAATTCCTAACGCCTCAGCAACATGCTGAAATAAACAGTAGGTAAAAATAAAACAATTTTATTTTCAGTGTAACTTTAAACTTACTTCACGAAGAGCAGAAATTGGTAATAAAGTTTGCCCAGCTTCTTTTTCTAATTCAAAATATTTAAGTACTTTCAGTATCAGAACTTGTTCCTTTTCCGTAAATCTTGGCATTTTAAAAATATTTTAGTGAAAACCAAAACAAAATAAAAATATAAACAAATAATGCACAACAACGCTATGAAATAATGTCAAATACTGACCTGAACGGACAAGATCACTTTACTCTTCGACACTTCTAAAGGATGGCCAAATGAATGGAGTTTTACATCCAATGTTCGTGACTCGCGTAACTGATTGGCTAGAGAAAGCGCGCATGTCAAATATAAACGAATCAAACGTAGGTTAAAAATAGACCGGTTGTGTATGCAACGCTGTAATATTTTCGTGTTTTAATCATGGAACTGCCGCTTTTTTCATCACGTCCAACTTAATGCGTTAGAAAGAAATCAAAAAACTGTGACGCACTGAAAAAAGGCTCTTAAAAGGAGTAATACTAGCGTAGAACTGTGAGCAATAGAAGAAGCATTAATTAACAATCGGATCTACTCCAGGTACAGAATATTAATACATAATATTTATGAACAAGCTGAAATGATAGTGATGTTGGGTAATGGAATTGAAACAAGACCAGTAAAAATCAATCGAGCTGTAAGACAATGAGACACAATATCTCCAAAATTATTTACAGCTGCCCTAGAAGATATCTTTAAGTTAATAGACTGGGAAAATAAGGGAATCCCTGATAACGGAAGTTACTTAAACTAATGTCAAACAAAGATGACAAACCTAGTTACAGAGATAGAACACGTAGATGAATATACATATCTGAGTCAAAATGTCACGGTAAGCAAAGAAAATCGAAATTTCCGATAATAAGCAGAAGTGTAAAACTGGGATGGGTAGCATTCAGAAGACTCTCATGCGTACTTAAAAATAAAAATACACCTTAAAGATTGTGAACCAAAGTGTTTAATTCTTGTATCCTACCTGTACTTACATATGGAGCCCAAACCTGGACATTCACTAAAATAGACGTGGAAAAGATCAGACAAACTCAGAGAGCTATGAAACAAAGACCATAAAACCAATGAAGACATTCGTAATAGAACAAAAGTAAAAGAAGCTGTCGAACAGGCAGCTAAACTAAAATGTAAATGGGCTGGACATAACGAACGTCTTAAAGATGACCGACGGAATAAAGAAATTGGGAATTGGTGGCCATATCAAGCCAAAAGACCACAAGGAAGACCGCAAGTGCGCTGGAGCGACGAGATTAAAAGAACTGCAAGACCAATTTGGAAACGTCTTACAAACAACAAAGATGAATGACGAGAATTAGAACAGGCCTATATTCGGCAACACAAATACAGGGAAGGGCTTAAAAAAGTCACTGTAGTCCTTTTTAAAAATAAAGCACAATTTGGTACATATCAACTCCCAGCAACAACTATAATACCAAAAAGCAAGTGGCATAATTTTGGATAATATTCTACGCGGTTTTTAGATAAATCCCGTAAGTAAAAAAACATCGCACTTAATAAAAAGTGAGAATGGGACGTACAGAACGCATATTTATTAAAATATTTGTAAATACTTCAATATTTTCTAAGTCCAGCATAATTTTTATTGTGTTCCCAAAATAGGAACGTTGGCATTTTTAAGTAAACTTAAAGGTTTTAAAGTAAACTTTTTTAAAGAACTTTTTAGACTTTTTCCGATAGGAGTGGCATAAGAATAAAAAGCGAAGTCATTTACATATATTCGTTGTTGCCGTTTTGGGTGACATACATGTCTTTTCTTACCCTATTATTCAAAATTATGTTACAGAAAAGTTTCAAAATCTCTTCATAAGTAAGCCAAGAATGGCCAAACCCTTCTACGTAAGGATCAAAAGCTACTTATATTAATTAAATTACACGTTTCCAGAATGCTTTTTTTCCCAATCGTCTTCATTATCTCCATGGCAAATAAAGAACCCTCAGTGGCCAACCCGCGTCATTTCTTTTGACAAACATTCAACAAACCCACGGTTCATCGTCTCCGCCTTTAATGATATGATTCACAACTACAAGGATTACACACGTATATACACACATGCATCTAAATCAAATGAAGGTACTGGTGCTGAAGTCGTAACCCCTACATCAACAAATAAATACAAACTCCCTTCAGAATACTCCATTTACTCTACTGCTATACGCTCTATACCAGGCCAATTTTGCTTTCAATGCATCCAATCCAACTAATCCTTTCGTCATCGAGATAAAACCACATAGTTTATACACACAAGCAACACTTAAATTCATAAAATTTAGTAAATAATATTGTCAAAATAGTTTTTTGCTATTATCTGACAAATTTCATTTTGTCGGTTGCAATGTTTTTCCGAGCAAGGTCTTCAAATATTGTAAAAATTTTATTTAAAACTGTTTTATTTACAAGTTTTTCATTTATTGAAGTTGCACTAAAAAAACAATCTTTGTTAATTTTTGCATCTGGTTATCGTATTTTCTTTTTATTTACATCATTTGTAACGTTTTCTTTAGGGTTGATTTCTTTCGATGCCTATCACACGCAATGTAACCCACTAATACCGTATGCACATAGTAAGTGGCGTAAAACTATTTATTACTAATGGTCTTCATTCATCTATTTCAGGTCCGGTGGTTCCTCGAAGGTGAATTGATGAAAGAATTCCCGGAATGCAACTATACGAACATCGACGAGAACGGCAATGCCGAAGGGAACGGCGGCCCATTCTGCGGTCTGGATCCGAGCATTTTGAGCCTCGAAAGGGTCGACGAGTCGTTTTCCGGCAACTATACGTGTCAAGGAATGAACAAGGGCGGTTGGGGACCGGTGTCCGAGCCACAGGAGTTGGTAGTTTACTGTAAGTTTCCGTTTGTTACCTTTTCGAATGTCGACAACTATTATTGGTTTGGTAAATAAGACGGGTGACCTTTTCCGATACACCAGACCGATATAAATTAGACATGTAACAGCTATGTCAAGTAGTATCTTTAAATTTATCATTTTTCACTGCTCTTACTGGGATGTATATTTAAAATGACTGAGGACAACAACATATTTAAGTTATAATTATAACTTAAATATCATATAGGTAAAGAAATAATAAATAAGACTTACAATAAATTTAATTTAACTATCAGACGACCGGTTTCTCTTTCTACAATATGCAAAGCATCTTCAGGTCTCGACACAAAGTTAAATAAATGCTGAAATGATAAAAACCCATATTAGGGTGTTGTCTAATAAAGATAAACAAATTAGATGTAAATTACAATAATTATGCCAATATTACATGTCTGTGATTTTATTTCAAAATGAGTAAGTTGAATAAAAAGGTATAAAAAGTTTTAAAAGTTTAAACAGACAAGGTAAGATCCACAAATTGTTATAAAATAGTCTATTAGATTGTAATAAATTAATAAATGAGCAAATAAATAAACATTACTTACATGCCGGTACTCTATTAATTGATGGATGGTAGAACATGGTTGAAACTACTATGTATTGTTGAATGGAGAACTCAATTCTGCTATTGTAGTTGTTTGACAGTAAACGGGAAGTTCTTGAGGAGATAGATTTGATCAAATGAAGCAGAGATATGTGTGTGATTGTTTGTTAAATGAAAGTGATGATATATACCATTGTATTATTTAAAAGTTATTTATACTTATTCGAGAGATATATTTATGAAATGTGTGTTATTTACTGAGTAATTGTTTAATGAAGGTGACAGTTTTATAACAATGAATAAGTTTAGATGTACAAATTGTGTGGGTGTGCAATTATTTTTCAACTTGTAATTATCAAATTTCTTTGATAAAGTTCTATTGGCAAAATAGTAGATTATTGCAAAGTCGAGTAAATAAAATATTAGAATTAAAACAATTAATTACAATTTAAAACACACTAAAACAGAAAACACTTAGAAGGGACGAAACAAACATTAAATTTAAAAGGGGAAGGACTTTTATGCACTACATCTCAGTCTTGGGCACAATGAGTTTTTTATGTTATCTATTGGATTCTAGTGGTAAATTTGACAGATGTAGGTTAGCATTTGACAGTTCTTCTTCTGTTTCTCAATATTGCAAGTTAAGTTATCTAGTTTTATGAAATATGCTGATATTAATGAATGTCTATAAACTGTTTCAATTAAGATATCAAAGGTAAATTGATCTGTTTAATATTGGCATACTTTAACAATCTTTAATTAATTAATTTAAATGTAACAATACGAATAATTGAAATACATCCCACATTATAACTAACTCAGTTTAGTCCAAATTACTGAACAAATTAAAGTGATTCTTTGACAATTTTATTTTTTTTTAATTTTTTGTAAATTTTTGTAATATTGTTATACGTTTGATTATAAAATGTACATGTTCAGTTGCCAAAGAATCACTTTAATTTGTTCAGTTATTCATTAATTAGTTATAATGTGGGATGTATTTCAATTATTCGTATTGTTACATTTAAATTAATTAATTAATAGTATATTACATAACGAGAGTAATTTTACAAGCATGTAATAAGCTTACAACTCAAGTTGTGTACTAAATTTTTTCTACGATTATTTTCGTTTATAAAAATAAAAATTAAATTACAACTATATTTACACTGACGAATTAATAATTTTTAATCTGTCAAAATAACGTCTAAATCCACAAGGAAAACAAATAACGTCTGTTAATTCGTTTCCATGGTAACTCAACCAACTGACTTACGATAGTTGTGATGTGATATGACACATTTTTTTAAAACTGAAGCGTAATTTTTTTATTACGTGCTAGTCATTACGTGTCAGTATCTGTTATGATGCATTTACTTAGCATCCAAATAGTAGGTAATGTACAATTTACTAGTAAGAGAGTAGAAAAAGATTGTTAAAGTATGCCAATATTAAACAGATCAATTTACCTTTGATATCTTAATTGAAACAATTTATAGACATTCATTAATATCAGCATATTTCATAAAACTAGATAACTTTACTTGCAGTATTGAGAAACAGAAGAAGAACTGTCACATGCTAACCTACATCTGTCAAATTTACCACTAAAATCCAATAGATAATATAAAAAACTCATTGTGCCCAAGACTGACATGTAGTGCATAAAAGTCCTTCCCCTTTTAAATTTAATGTTTGTTTCGTCCCTTCTAAGTGTTTTCTGTTTTAGTGTGTTTTAAATTGTCCTTAATTGTTTTAATTCTAATATTTTATTTACTCGACTTTGCAGTAATCTACTTCATTCAATCTATAAACTTATTCATTGTCATAAAACTGTCACCTTCATAAAACAATTACTCAATAAATAACACACATTTCATAAATATATCTCTCGAATAAGTATAAATAACTTTTAAATAATACAACGGTATATAACATCACTTTCATTTAACAAACAATCACACACATATCTCTGCTTCATTGGATCAAATCTATCTCCTCAAGAACTTCCCGTTTACTGTCAAACAACTACAATAGCAGAATTGAGTTCTCCATTCAACAATACATAGTAGTTTCAACCATGTTCTACCATCCATCAATTAATAGAGTACCGGCATGTAAGTAATGTTTATTTATTTGCTCATTTAATAATTTATGACCATCTAATAGACTATTTTATAACAATTTGTGGGTCTTACCTTGTCTGTTTAAACTTTTAAAACTTTTTATACCTTTTTATTCAACTTACTCATTTTGAAATAAAACCACAGACATGTAATATTGACATAATTATTGTAATTTACATCTAATTTGTTTATCTTTATTAGACAACACCCTAATATGGGTTCTTATCATTTCAGCATTTATGTAACTTTGTATCGAGACCTGAAGATGCTTTGCATATTGTAGAAAGCGAAACCAGTCGTCTGATAGTTAAATTAAATTGATTGTGAGTAAGTCTTATTTATTATTTCTTTACCTATTTGAAATGGACTCACACAAGCAACACATTCATGATTTAAATATCATAGTTTTTTAATATCAAAGTGGGTTATTAACCACATATTTAAAGGCTTCAAACATGTAAATCCAGATAAAACTGATGATGGAATAGTTATTCCGAAAACGTTCTCTGATGTAGTACGATAGTGTTTTTATAATAATATACCTTTCAGAAAGGAATTTTTTTAAGTAATTTTTTTTTAATAAAAATAATTAATCATTTTCAGATCCTCCCGGTCCAGCACGCATACGATACGCACCATCCAAAGTCGTCAAGGGAGGTTCAGTAAACCTAACCTGTACCGTTGAGTCAAGTGGCCGACCGGACAACATAAGTTACATCTGGCATAGAGGATCACATGTGCTAACGAACGTCACCCAATCGGTTTATACCATCACCTCAGCGAGACTCGAAACGAGGAATAATTTTTCTTGCGCTGCCCAGAACGAGGGTGGAAAGGGGGCTCAAGCGAGCGTTTTCGTTAATGTATACGGTAAGTCCATTTATATTTTTCAAATTATACGCAGTAAATTGATTGCTAAGATGTTATTTTAGTTGTATTTGTTATGTTCGGACTTTCTGGATTTAAGATCGTAATTTTTGCCAAAACAAACAGGGTTTTTTCCAAATACTTTTAAATTTCGTTTACCTTACATCATAATGTTTACTTTTTATCAAATATTTTTGATTTTTCTTGTAACATATTCAATAGTACCCCCCTTATCGTTGAAAATTTTGTTTTATTAAATCTTTATCAGTTAATTAAAATGTTCGATCTCATGGAGTAGTGCACAGTAGTGCAGTTTCACTTATGGGTCCTCGAACTTCTTAAGTTTCCTGCACTAACTGTTTTGTCCTTTCGATTGTTTTATCCTTTAATATCATCACGTCTATCTACTTCAGCTTTGTTATACCCTGTTTTGTCGTACTTATTGGCTAAACAATTGTGATATTTACATAATACTAGAGCAGAATCGGATATTTTTGAAGAGCAGAGTTTCCTGAAGCATATATTGGATTTAAGCATCAAACCATTAGTTGCAAGTATTAAACTTAAGTTTAAAACGAATCCAGTCGCAAAATGTTACAAAGAAGCCCCACGTTGGGCGCCAAAATATACTTTTACAAAGAAATAGCTACACGCTGCAGCACCAAAATATACTGTGATACCTCAGGGATTTGTCCTATAAATTGTGACAATCAACTCACAAAAAGAACAAATCAGACAAAATAAAAATTTGAGACTTCGTTGCGCTGAGTTAGAACTCAAAGGAAACAACCAACAAGCAAACAAAAAAACAAAATCAAAGGAAAACAGTACTGTTTTTAACATGGAAATGTTAAAATAATCCTAATTCTTTATCAGCTGTAGCATACTTAAGTTTTGCAAGAGGCCTACATATCTTAAATTTTTTTTGCTTATTTGACTTGCTTCTAGTAACCATAACCTAAACTCTCTAATTTACCATTACTTTTAATCAACAACTAATATTTTGTATTGTTCTCAGCTGCACCGGCGTTTACGAAAAAGCCTCCAACCTACCAAGGCATTTTGTATACTTCGAAACATATCAACCTCAGCTGCGTCGTGGAATGTTATCCTGAGTGCGGAATTGTTTGGTATAAAGATGGTATCAAATTGGATGTTAAGCACAACCATCTCTACACAGTTGAAACACACTTTTTACCTCCCAATCAACAAATGAACGATTTTGAATCGATCAATTCCACATTGGTAAGTTATTATTCTTTAATGAATTATTTTAAATTGTATGAAATAAATTTAAGAAGAATAATTTAAATACATAATCAGTTATCCTTTCTCATACCAAGTTAATTTTAAAACGCCTTTTATCGAACCAATATGTTTTTTTGTACCTATATTTATACAAAGTTATTGTTAAAATGCTTGATACCTGTTTTTTATTGGTTAAACGAGATTGAATTGTTGAGTCTCTTATTCTTTTCTTTAAGTATAGATCTAACAGTCTTTTACCTAACTCTAACCAAACGTTCATTTTTTGTTTAAATATTGATATTTCCGTTCAGGGTTGATATAAATTGGTTTGTTTTTTGCATGTTTCAGCAATTACCTTGTACAGTGTATCTTTTTTAATTGCCGTATTGCTAGATTCCAGTAAGAGCCTAAGAAGGTATCCATTGAATTATGGCAGGCAACGGTAGGGGAAATATGTTAAGACATCTAACGTCATGGAGCAAGACACCCTGGCTTAACCGATTTAACAGGTGTAACCTCCACACTTTTTACTAAAAGCGAAGAGAGGATTTGTCTCGGCTCCCTTTGAGAACGAACACCTCAGTTTTCTGTCAATTACGTTGACCAAGTGTTAAAGGCATTCTTAACGTCAAGCAGGATGAGAGTCACCCATCTTTCTGTATCCTGTGTAACTAAAGAGGTTACTTCTACGACCGCATCTATGGTGGATCTTTTGGCCTTGAAACCATATTGGCGGTCTCTCAGAGAGACACTCGAATAACACTTCGGTTTACTTTTGGATGTGGGACACCAATGTTATTTCCGACTGAAATACAAAAACTGAAAAATAAATATCACGATTTTGAGCAGGTATTAACTCCTGAGGTATAAACGTTTTATTCCTTCGTAGCGTTTTGCATAGTGTTAGTTCATTTTGATAAGATCTTCTGCTAATTCCAAAGAATTGAAGAAGTTATTGGTGGTAATTCCGTTACCAGGCCTTAAACTACCCTTTTTTTGTCGCATTTCAAAGCATTTTCTTGTTTCCCCAAATAGACTTGTTAATTGTTACTATAAGCGATATCAAAAGCTGCAAAATACCATATGTTGCTGGTTTGCTTTTTTTTTCATGTAAGCTCCAAAAGGACTTCTACCAAGTAATTGCACTAACTGTTCATCAACGGTAAGATGAAAACCAGGATTATAGTGTCCGTGAGAATTACTTACGAACATTTTAATTACGTTTCGAGTTAGCTGCCAGTTTGTCGGTTTATCTACGGTGTTTCTGAATACCTTCATCATTAAAACGCACTCAGCTGGTTATTTGTGAAACCTTGGTATGTAGCATTATTGCAGAATATGCCGAAAAAAAGCAAATTAGCAAAAGATGTAACGATAACCTTTGATAGAGTTATAAGTCTGCCAATGAACAAGCAATATTGCTAATAAAGGGGAAGCAGAAGAGGAGGAAGAAGATGAAGAATCTCATCTCATCCAATATCTTCAGAAATAAATAATTTAAACAACTTCGTTATATTTAGAGATGTTGGTATACTATGTTTATCACCGACAGGAGTTCTGATTAAATTGTTTGACTGAATTATTTTTCTTGGAAGAGGTTTCTTTATCTAAAATGTTTCATCTTTGCCGAACCATAAGTCTTGTAGGTCGTTCATTTTCATTATTTCCTCATCGTCATTAAAATCATCGGTCATCACATCCCTTTCTTCTTTGATGGTTTCTTTGTTGTTCTACATTTCTGAGCTATCATCAATGGGTTTCACATCAAAGTAGTCGTCTAGACAGTCGAATTCAGTAATAGTTTGTTTATTTTACTAAACAGTACTAAAAGCAGCTCTGTCAACTGCAAAATCATTCTTGATCAATACTTGGATACTTGAACACTACTCACTGGTGATTTTTTGGTATTTTGAAGGTCAGATGGTCTATAAATTTCGACCATTAGAAAGAGACGCAAACACTGCTTGTATCTTTTTTCTCTGGAGTATGTATGTATGCAGACTGGAGTAGTAGTCATGCAGTTTTGCGTATACCTTTCTAAACAGTTTACAGTATAACTAATAAACAACCCTAAATTGTTTAAACATTTGTTTTTAATATAAACTTTTTCTAACCAATTCGAGTTGATAAACCACCAATATATGAATAATCTGCTTTCGCATTTATATAATGAGATAAATTTGTTATGCTAACAATGGTCATTACAAATTTGCATTTACAAAAACTTTGTAATTAAATATATAACTCACTTGTTTTTGTTTAAAATGGCCAAAAATGAAATTTCAGTTTTCTCTATTTTCTGCGCTTGGCAGTTTATATAACTTGCTTTCACGAGTGGCTTGGGGACACAAGCGTTTGTTTGCTTTGCGGTTCATTTAAATTCACAAGCCATCGACTTCTATTATTTTGATAGCGGATTAAAAGGACTTTTTAAATAATTACATAGCGGATAGTTAAACGCCATTTATTAGAGGGTTTTTGGTAATAGTAGGCAGAAATAAAAACAGTAAGCAATAACGTATATTTTAGCAATTTTAAAATTGAACATTGTGTTAAATTTTTACGATAAAAGATGTAATTTACGTTTACATTTTTGAAGATACTCAAAAAGTTAGCTTATTAGTTAGGAATAGTGTAAAGAAATTTTAATTTTTAAATAACCCCATAGAAGTCCAGGTTAGTTAAATCGGGATCTTGCTGGCTATTCAATAATACCCCTTCATCTCATCCACTGCCTAAGAAACCATTCATTAAGGTTCATTATTTTAACGTTCCAATGCTTATCATCTTCTAAGTACCTGTTTACATGTTTGATTATATCTGCTAAATAGTTTCAACTGTGTCCTCTAATAATTCTAGATATCAAGATAGATACTATTAAACCAATTTATAATACCATCCAGAAAAAAAGAAACCACAAGGAAAAAGTTAATTTCCTGTAGTCATATACCATGTATCACAAAAAATTTATTAGAAAATCTTCTATAAAACGTATTTTTATTTAAAAGGATCATTTCGGACTAAAACACAGAACGTTTTCGGTTAATAAATCAAGGTCGATTCAAACACATCAGTCACGTCTCGTCACAGTCCCGGCGACGAACCGAACAATCCGTCATACAATATATTCTTTAATAGAAATATGCCGCCGGCATTTATATTAATCAGTTGACGAACAGTTTCCCAGCAGTCAGGATTCGACACGTCCATCGCCCAGCCTATTCTATTGGGACCGTGCAAGTTCGGAACAGTGACACCTGGTGTCGTCAATCAGCCAAATTTACTGTGCTTTCATGTTAGATCGAGGTTACCGGATAACTGTCAAGGATGTGGCCCCAAAAAAGAATAAGAAGAAAAAGTAAGATTGAGGTTATGTCGGTATGTTATTAAAAGGTAAACGTTGATGTAGCGTAAATACAAATAAATATATTATTGAATTACAGCATTACTGTTAATATGGATGCAATAATAAAAACTGGATTTGAGAAAGTAAATCACCAAATAACTTTTCAACCAAGCACGAGTCAAAGGGAAAAGCTTTAGTAGTGGCAAATGTCAAAAAAGAATGGAAGAAGTATGTGGAGTGGAAGAATTAAGAAAAATAAATTACCATAAATAATGCTAATGCATAAATTAGCAGGTTAAGCCCATGATATCATCATATTGGTTTGAACAATTAATTCTTTCCCTGTAAACTTTTGGACAGGGAATATATCTTAATGCATCTTCAGAAAAACTTTTTGCATTTTTGTAAACTTCAAAAAAATAAAATTCAAACATTAAACTTGATTTTTGAGTTAAAATGAACTTTAAGTGAGTGTTATGAAACTAAAATTTACACTTAAAAGTGAACTTTTATTTATTATTTATTTCAAACTGACTTTAAAATCGGGCGCAAGAATAATGCATAATTTAGGTTACGTTACTTATGCTTTTTATGATATAAATCCACTTTTCTCTTTGTAGTAGCTTTGTGCTTCGAAGTTGGAAACGAATAAAACTTAAATTGACAATTTTTTGTTGTATTTTTACAATTTATAACACAGCATTTCCTAAATCCCATTTTCTTCAGTGACAGAAGGTGTAAATAAACAAAACAAATATGAAATATGACAATTGACAATATGAATTTATGAAATCTATAATCTATGAAATGTGCAGTAAAAGATGCAAAATTTCTCCACTACTCACGCACGATCGTTTCTCGTATCCCCTCCAAGTACTTGCACGTCGCCAATAATCTCAGCGACGAATTTTTTGGTCTTGCCGGAAACATGACGGGCGGTACAAGTGAACAAAATAAAATTATTGACGAACAATTAATAGAATGTTTGAGAAAATATATTGTTTTATATGATTTGTCGCATGCAAAATACATGGACAATAATTTTAAAAATAATATTTGGCAGGAAAGCAATTTTTCGACATCCTAAAATATTGATGAAATTTTACATCATCATGAAGCAGCTCTTTCTACAGTGTCACGTATTCTCCTCCGGTATCCCTTTTTTCATGTGCCATGTATCCATGGTAAATAACGTCGTAAATGGTAAATAAGGGGTTGTTGAATTATGTGACCATTTATTTAAAACACTACTGTACACTTTTACTTAAAATTACTTATCTTAAATGTAATTAGTACTTAGTTGACGTTGTGACAATACGTGCTAGATTAACTTGCCATATTGACGTTAAATTAGTTCTGATCTCCAGATAATTATTGTTGTCGCTTTTAATAGCCGGCCTTGCCAGTATCAGCACTTTAGAATAGAGTATAATATTATTTATGAATGTCCTCGATTCAAATTACTAAACATATTTTATATAAACAAAATGCGAAACTATGTTACACGAGTATGAATTATAATATTTTAGGAATAATACGACATCCGTTTTTCTGCTAGGTTTGCTTGCACTTTTTCTTCCTCGTCCAAACATATAGCAATTATTGCTAATTCTTCATCCGAGAAACTTCCCATCTTTTCAACAGATTGGTCGTCCAAGACTGATGCATTTCGGGTGTGTGCGAATAGACGAACAAATAGTTCTGTGACCAGACGGGACCGGTTCGGCGCCGGGACTGTGACGGGACTGATGTGTTTGAATCAACCTTAAATATTGCATCTTCAGTGCTGCTACTAGGTATACATGTTCAAAACCACTAAATACATGGGAGAAAACCCTTTAAATGTTATCAAATTGGTACTACATGATTGTTGATATTTGTATAGGATGTTAATCACTTCCTGGTATTATGAACTCCCAATGGGGGTAACTGGTCCAGAGACGTAGTCTCTAAACGGACCTTAGGTAGCAAAAAAAAGATTTGGCAAATGTTGGTAGTTCAGATTTCTTTCCTAGGTGGCGTAGTTAACCGAGCAAACAAGTGTGACTTGTCGTCCCAGCCTTTTATATAGATAAATGATTGTATTAAAAAAAAACTAAAATTATATAAAAAATATATGGAATATGCATATCCGTCCATGATTATTCAATATTGATAAATAAGTGTTTAATACGATTTAAATATTTATTTCAGATATGGAACATGACAGCATGGCCAGGAGGTATGTTAAATAAAACAGCTCCCAACACAAATTATACATGTCAAGCGACGTCAAATAAAATTGGAGTTGGTATTACTTCCACTGCAGAAATAGCTGTTGACTGTAAGTATACAACATGTTTAATGGAAAAAATATAACAAAAAAATATCTATTTAAATATACGTAGACTTAAGTATAATCAAAATTAACGGAACTAGAAATAACAGCATGAGGAACCCTGATAATACCGTCCTAATATCAAGCAGCGCACAAGAACTACAAAATATAATAAATTCGATAGTTCGTCATATCGAAATGTTTGGTTTACATCTAAACGTTTCCAAAACTAAAATTCTAGTATTTTTAAAAGACTTCAATAAACGTATATTTGTGTACCAAGTAACAAATAATATAGAACAAGTAACTTCCATATACTTTTTGGAAGCAAATATTAGCTATATGTTGCAATTATTGTTTGGTATTTTAATTCTTCGCATTTTTTAAATAATTTAATATACAGTTAAGGATTTTTTTATTATCGTTTATGATAAGTCCTCAATTTGTGTTTTCTTCAGTCAGTTTCTGAACCATATTATGCATATCTTCCTCGTCATTTGCAAAAATCAACTGCCACGACCAACTATTTAAGCTTCATCTTCTATCAAAGGTTAAAAATCATCATGTCTGTGCGTACCCTGTTGACTGCCGCTCTAAATAATTCTCCACTACTGTATTCCATTCCATAAACATTCCCTCAAGTGTTTAAGTCGCGTTATTTTTCGTCTTCCCACATCTCGATTTTCTCGAATTTTGCCTTGCACAATAAGCTGCAATGATGAGTCTTTGCCCTCTCATAACATAACTTAAATACTCAAATTTTGTTTCATAGTCAAAATTATTTTAGCTCCATCTCATATTCTTTTAATAATATTTGCGTTTGATACAAAGCCATAAAGAGGAGTAGTTAATACATAACACCGAAGCATTCATAGGCATAGTCCTAATCTTATATCCCGACAACTAAGAAACTTTAAAGTTTAACGAATGATACACGTGCTTTTTCAATACGTGTCTTAATTTCTTTGATTTGGTCAATAGATAATTTGATGTTATCAATATTGGTATCCCCACTCTTAATTACAGTATCCTCAGTAAACGACAATTACGGTGTGTTATTACACACGCCGCGAAGAATCGAAAGGACGAGTCAGAGAAATAAAGATAGAACGGACCCATCAATACCCGGTATGGCAAGGAGCGGAAAGCAACTAATCAATACTTAGCTACGGGGAAGAATAGATCTGTCTCAAATCAATAATTCAAGACCGGGTACGAACTGCCACTAGATCAACACTATAGCAGAATCGTTTGGCCTACAGTTAATACCCTAGGCCAGTGGAGTTGTTAATTCCATCTACTCTAGCGCGCATAAATAGAAGAGTAACTTGCGGTGAGAATGCATATATATGGAGTGCTGACAGGAGTTGCATATCGTTACAAATTAAGATATCGCTACCTACTTTATGCTTGGTAACTGCACTCTTGTGACTAGTTTTTATTTCCTTTTTTGTGGATTGAGATTATATACCTTTCTCTAATATTCTGCAATATCTTCTTATTATATTAATTTGTTTAAAATGTGAGATTAGAGTTCTAATAAATTTATCTGGTCTATTTTTTACTAATTATATAGGGATATCTATCAATTTCTTTGCATTTTATATTCCATATTTCATTCTTTCTCGTTGGTATAACTTTCCTAACTTGTCTATTCCAGTAACTACACATTTTGCAATTTTCTGCATTTTTATAATTCAACTGAGTTTTTAAACTCTTTTAGTATCCACCTCTATTATTTTTTGTGACCAGCACTCCCTGTTTTGTTTTACATATTTTCCAATGTATCCAGTTGCTTCTTGTATTGCTTAGTTGATACAATATTTTCTTTGAAAGTTTAGAAGAATATTTCTTTGCAAGTATTGAATAATGTTTGCAAGTAGGAAGGCTATTTCTAAGATCAGCTCTTTTTACGATTTTATATGGCTCTGTGTTAATTTAATACATCATTGTAACCGCATTTGTATTTTATTAGAATCGCACACAAATCATAGAATTATTATAGGTATGTTTTTACTAAACTTATTCATTCTTAAACTGATTTTTTGTTTCAGATCCTCCCGAGGAGGTCACTACTAGCACCAAGATGGTTAATGTAAAAGAAGGAGAAGCTCCAGCGTCGGTAAAATGCTACGGTAAAGGACGACCTGCGCTCAGTTTCCAGTGGAAGAAAATGAACAATTCCGAGGTGATATCGACTAACGATGTTTTATCGCTCTCGAAAATGTCTCGAAGTGATAAAGCTGCTTATATGTGTGAGGCATCCAACAAACATGGTTTAAAAACTGCGATGGTGCATTTCAACGTTCAATGTAAGTCGTCTTTACATTTTATTGACTAACGTACACTTCCAGTATTTACATTTGATTTAAAAAAATCATCCATGACTTCCATGTGATCCAAGTGAGTGTAAAATGGATCAAGTGATATTTACTAAGTATCTGTGCATATCATAGTATACGTAATATGAAGATAAATACCTACTAATGTATAAAATCGGATAAACTGTGTAAATCTTGCATATAATAGCAATAAACAAATTGATTTTGTTTTAAACTGAGATATTTGTCCTGTGAAGACAATATACACAGTAGCGGCGTGGGCCAATATTAGTATCTCACTTATTTATAGTATATTTGAAAAAGAAACTGGAGAAAATTCTTAGAAAAAAACTTAATTGTGAAGCATATTGCAGTACGTGTGCTTTTCGTACAACGTCAATATTTTAGCTTATTTTACGTTGGGTTTGACTGTTTAGATACAAATATTTCCACGTCACATGATCTGTCGTAAAATGTAGTTACCTGCTATTGTAAGAATAGTAGGCTAAGTATTACTCAGCTGGTAATAGACGTACTTTAAGGGAATTACAGTATTTGTTTCAGTTAATTAGTTTTTTAAACCATTTTCAAAGCATATTATATTTATATAAATCAGTTTATTTAGTAACCTTATTTATGGTTGTGTGTGTGTGAGAGAGAGAGATGGCATTAGACAAAGAATCTTTTTGCCACAGAAAATCTTATTTATGGTTATTTTTGTCGTTATGATAATGATTCACTAAATAACAAGAAATAAAGAAACTATTAAAATCAATAGGTATTTAGTTAATGGTCTTTTGATAGTGATAGATTAAAAAAGTCGATTAGCGAAAGATGGTTTCCGATAAATGCGAATGCTATTTTAAATAGTATAAATTTTGATTTTGTTTGGAAAATCAATGGTTAATAAAATGGGTTTTTTTTTAAATAGTCATTTATTAATATCAAAATATTTTTGTTCAGTCGATTATAAGCGAGTGAAGAGATCTGACACAGTTGTTTTTTGCAAGAGTGAATAGTGAGTTTATAAAATATGGAATTAACTTGTGATTATAAACCAATTAAAAATTAAGTTAAATCATTTAACAGTTAACGAAAAGAGTGTTATAATCATCAATGTCTACAATTATTTTAAGCAACACAATCCTTCCAATACTGTTGATAATATAGTTGAAATTTTGTCTAAAGTAATAGGATATTCAAAATTAACTGTATATAACATTTTAAAAGAGGAAAAATCAGCTGGTATAACCCCACTCAAACCGAAACAGAAAGTCCAAAATTGTCGAAAGTGAATGTGGATGAATTTTTCAAAAATGCAATTCGTAGAATGGTCCACTCATTTTTATTTAACAAACAAATACAAACTTTACATAAAGTTTTACAAGCCATTACCGATGATTCCAATTTATCCACAATACGTGGAGACAAACTTTGGAAAGTTTTGCGTGAGTTAAACTTTAAGTATGAAAAAATTGGCAGACCGTCAATGCTTATCGATTCCGAAGAAATTGTGTCTTCAGCAAACGTGGATTAATGAAGGGCATACTGTAGGGAGAGTTTGGAAAGACACAACTATAAAAACGTGTCGAAAAGCATTTCTGGAAGGATATTCAACTGGTTTCAAGGAACCAACAGGTAAAGGTCGACGATTAATTGTTACCCATATACATTTCATCTAATTTATATAACGATGCACGTCATCGGCGTCGTAGCCTGTGGCGTCACATGATACTAACACAAAATATTTAGGGTGTAGGTGTGTTCTTTTTTAGAACCACTTTACCGAGTACACTGACATTACAGCCACTATATATATTTTATTATATGAGCGTAGAAATCATATTTAAAAATTTCTATTAATGTTAACTTGAAGAAATACACAATAATATGTTTCATTTAATTTGTATAAATGCATTATAAAGCGTTTTTATCAAGAACATTTGTTCGGAACACACTGTAACTGTAATCGAACGAAGGTAAAATTTTGGCATAAATTGGTAACACTTATTTGACAGTTGCGGTGTTGACACTTTTTGTACTTCATTATTTTGAATTTTAAAGTGAATATCTCTTGTTTTATATTTTTAACTATCTAATAAAATCTGTTCTTTTTAGAACACAATTAGTGTGTTTTATTTCAAAAATGTCACGTAACAATTTAAATAGTCGTTGTAAAGAGATGGTAATACTTTTGCAATAGTTATATAATCTATTTGATTTAAAATGGAGTCAGGATTTTTTTATACTTTGGCAACTATGTCAACTTCGATCTCTGACTTAGATAATGACGTAAGTCGTTATCTAAATTAGATGAAGTATAGGTAATATGAATGGATTTCTTAAGGAGGGTTTACTTTTTTTTAATCAAGAAAGACCTTTGATTATCACGAAGAGATGAACGGAGACGTGTTTGAAGAATATTTCGAACAGATGATTGAATTCATACCTAAAAATTCGGTTATTGTGATGAACAATGCAAGCTACCACTCTTGATTAGTTGAACGTTGACCAACTACTCAATAAAATAAAAATTAAATTGCAATATGGTTAACTTCTAAGAATTTAATCTTTGATGAATGACAAAAGCAGAATTATTAGAGTTTGCTAAAATTAATAAACAAAATTATAAAACATATGCCATTGATTAGATAGCCAAAAAAACGAGGAATTAAAATACTTCGCCTACTACCTTATCAAGTAACAACTGAACATTGGCAAAAATGTATTAATCGCGTTATGGATATTGAGAAAAATATGTGGGAGCTTGATCATATCATAGATAGTAGTATAGAACCTATAATAATTCATTACCGATGGGATAACACTTCGTCCGACACAGAATATGAGAAAGCTCAACATTAAACTGTAGCTCGGAAGTTTATTTATTTATTTATTTAATTTTTTTTATTGCTAATATAATTTTCGTTCTTATTTCCAAGATTTTTAGTATTAACAATATTATTAATTATTAATAGGAATGTATAAAAACTTAAAGTTTTTGTATAATTTATTGTATTTTATTGTTTTATATTAACTGTATATTTCACAATTAATGGAATTTTTATTCTTTTATGTGTATCTTTTTATTTTAAACCAGTATTGGATTGGGATTAATTACTTTGTTCTAAATATCCAAATAAATTTAACGCAAACTTTTCTTTTAAGATTACGTTTTAGTTAGAAGATGTGCACGTCTATGTATTTCGAGGTTTGAAGATTAGTATTCTGAGAATTTACTCCAGCTTATTTTTCAAATGTATTATACCTATTTTCAATAAATAATTACTGCTTACTCAAGATTGGTGGGTAATAAACACATTTTCTTTTTAATTTAAATTTTACAATGTTGAAACAAATTGGAAGTACCGAAAAATCTCCATGTCACCAAATATGTGTTGACCAGTGCTATTAAAACTGTAATTCTTCATAGGTTCTTCCCTTATTTTCAATTTTATTTTCTTTTACAGATGCTCCAGATTGCAGTATAACCCAGGTAGACAGAGACGGAACTCCATCTTTAGTGTGTACAGCACTAGCGAATCCACAAGAAATGACCTTCGTATGGAGAGTGAAAGAAGGCAACGAAACGTTTAACGCAACAAGCAACATTATTCAAGAGGGTGTGCAGAGTTACCTTCTGCTCGATTCCAGCGTGGAGAATCCTAGAACTTATTACTGCATAGCAAATAATTCGATAGGATTCAGCAACGCTTGTCATGCAGAAGTGGCAGGTAAGTCAATGAAAAAAGAAAGGGCACTATTATAGAATTGGAAGAAATATTGTAATAAATTTTATAATAAGATACATAAATAAGTTAAACAACATTTTTTACAATAAGACAATAGAAACTACATAAAGCGCTAAAATCGGCAACATTTCCTCGTACGAGGTAATTGTAATTTTCCGATACCCTCCAACACCTTAGATTCTTAGACTCATAGACAGAAAACGAAAATCATTTAGTAACAGATAACAACGCAACAGATATGCATCTACGTCCGTCAGTTTGTCTTTTACTTACGTATACCTGGTTCACCTTTTATAATATAAATATCGATAAAAATACACTGACAAATAAGGCGGTGATTTATATAGGTTTTTAATAATTTATACAATTACAACAGATAAAAGAGAAATATACTCGTATTGAAAATAAAAAATAATTTCTAATAAAATAAGAAATAATTCTTTACGCCCTACAAAGATGATTTAAATATTTGATCTTCTACGGCTAAACACTATCCCAATCTGCGGACAGATGTAAGAGTTTCTGCTGTAACAGAATTGGAGACTTCTCTTATTCGGTTTTTTAATCATCCAAATTTTGGGATCTAGCCTCAGGATGATCGTAGATAATGCTTTTTAAATGTTCCCAAAAAAATATCCCATAGGTGTAAGATCTGAAGATCGTGCAGGCCACTTAATATCGCCTGTTCCACTAGGGGAAAATATTGTTTAAGTATTCCCTAATTATTTAAGAGTTGTGAACTTAACAGCCATCTTGATGGAACCAAACATTCTCAAGATTTACATCTAGAAGATTCAGAATATCCTGAAAAACATCATTTTGTAACAAAACGAGATATACTCTACTATTCAAGTTACCCTCAATAAAAAATGGACCTATTATGTGATACCCTAAAATGCCAGTCCAGACGTTAACTTTTTGAAGATGTTGAGTTTTTCTGCTAGTGCTTATCCTCTATGGATGTTGTATTTTGGATTTTGCTTATGATCACAATTTTCGTCTTCTTATTATTAAGTTTCATTTCATATTTTCTACCGATGTTAATGAACGATGATCTATCAGTCTTTGTAATCCTTCAGCACTATCCGCAACAAGCACAGTGTCGTCTGCATTAAAAAATCTTTAAGACCATATTAAAATTCCAATCATTATATCTGAAATTTTACATCTTCTTGAAATTTGCATAAATTATGATTTACTATTGTTTTATTACAGGAAGCCTGTCCTGGTGGAAAGACCTGAATCAAGATAAATGGATCATCATCATCGCATCCATTATAGCCATTGTTATCTTCATTATCATAATCTGCGTGATCATCATCATCCTCTGCCGAAGAAAACGAGCAGATACCAAGTGTAAGTTGCTTGCTATGCTTAGTGGTATGCACATCCCATCTAGAAGTAATAATAATTACTATACCCTTTACTGAAATATTACAATTAAGACAGAGTAAGAAAATAATTTACACTAGTTTAAATATACACATTTTTACATTTTAGTTTTGCTTAATTTTTTAAAGAACAATATTTAGGAGTATAGTAAGCCGGTGGCTTGTAAGAATCCATCTATTTAACACGTATTCTACTTTACTCTAATTGAGAAGTGTGAGACTTCGCCCAGCTTGCACATGTGGCAGTTACAATTTCATAAGTCTAAAGATACTTAAACTGATTTTCTACACTGGATTCCGAATAAGTGTCAGATAAACTTACCAGTGTATTTTGGAGTTCAGGGTGATCAGGGAGATTAAAGGCATAAGGTAGCCCATTTACCTGGTATTTCCTTCTGACCATTGCTACTACTAATACTACTACCAATATCGGTACCAGTATTATAGTTTCACGTTTGTAGTATCCCTTAACGATGTTTTTGTACTGAACCGACCTACAGAAAGAGTACTTCATAAAATTTTAGACAAAATGATAGTTTTTTTTATTTGCAAGAACATTTATTATCAGCAGAAAACCTCTTAAACCTTTTAAATTGGTAGAAAAACTTGACCACGACTTCCGGAAGACACATTTGCTATATTTTTTTTTCAGACAATAAATGCGAATTTATTACAGTTCTTAAGTTTAATCTATTTAATCAATTTATTCTTAAGTTCTATCAAAATCGTCAATATATTTTTTTTTATTTCGTTGTAATTATTCCTCATTCAAATTGGTGTAAACTTGACCTTCTTTTAAACTATTTATTATTATTTTTTTTATAATTATATTTGTTTACAATCTACATTATTATAGAGTATTAAGTAAATGTGTTACTGATTTTGGGTGTGAAGAGCCATCCACTGATGTCTCACCTTATTCTATTTTAGTTTAGTTTTGAAGTAGGCCTTGAAGCTAGGTTCTATTTAGTCTTCTTGTGCATGGACCATTATTTAATAATTTCCTTATTAGCTCATTTTCATGGTGAACGTGATGAACGAAGTCGTAGTGAAGTGTTTGATTTGGTTTGCATGATATTCAGTGACGTTGGCGTTGCACAGTCCAATAGGTGGCGTCCGTAGAATCAGATCTGAGATTCGGATTTGAGTATGCTTTTTATAGATGAATTTTGTTTGTTTTGTTAAGTTTTGATTTACGTCCAAGGAGCCAATACATTTGCCGAAATTTAAAGTCAAGCTGTCTTCTTTTGATCTGGATATGTTTCTTCCAAGTAAGACGTTGGTCAAGATGGAGACCAAGGTATCTAGCGTCTGTTACTGTTGGTATTATTACATTTTAAATATTACAGGTAGGTATATGTTGTGGCGGTTGGTAAATGTTATTTGAGTTGATTTTGTTGTTAATGTAATAAAGTTTTTCTAAGGCTTGTATGAAATCTTCATTTAGAGCTAGTATTGCTACGTCGTTAGCAAAGGAAGCGATTGTGGTATTAATAGTCTCTGATATATTGGCAAAGTAGACTGAGAAAAGCAGCAATCCTAGCACTACTATGCGGAACTTCGCAATTGATAGAACACAAGTTTAATTATTGGTCATTAGATTTTACAGAAAAAGTTCTATTTGATATGTAGGAATTGAGTAAGAGGAAGTAGTTACCTGATAGTTTCATTTGTAAGGCAGACCTATGTGCCAAACTGTGTCACACGCTTGTGAGATGTCTAGAAATATCGCGTTGCAGTATTTCTTTTCTTCAAGACTTTTTGATATTTCATTTCTCATTCGATGGTATTGTTCATGGGATGGGAATTCATGATCTGTCTGCGTGTATCATTTACAACAGCAATCCTTTACAAAATTTTAAAGAGTAAGCTAATGGATCAAGAAGATGTTAGATACTTCGTTGGGCTCTTTCCCAGCCTTGAGGATCATAATGATTTCAGCAACTTTTTATATTTTTAGAAAGTATGATAAGCTTACGTACATATACGTGATATAGTAAAGAATGGCGGTAGAGAGCCCAATTTGAAAAATATGTTATTATGTGGAAATTACTCTATAACTAAATAAAATATTACAAAAACGAATATCTACCGCCATTAAGAAAAACAAAAAAATAAACTTTCTTCAAATAAACTTTTTTATCCCGTGCCTAGATTTTGTGTTAAATTGGAATTACTAAAATCAACTAAAATTAATTATCTGTAACAAGAAATCGAACTTAACTGAGTGAGTTGGCAACATAGAGAAATAGTCACCGCTATCACATTTGCACATCTACGTCTGTTTTCTGTGTAAGTGATAGCACGATTCTGCTCTGTTATTGTATCGATGTGTGTTCATGCAGTAGTGTATTATTTTCAAGATTTGAAATTCGTTAGTGTTGATTCATAGTGAAGTAGTGTTTGTTTAAAATTAATTTATTATATTTGTGTAATAGAACTGAGTTGCCTGCTTGTAGAAGCCATGGTTATTAGTTGTCAAAAACAAGAAGCAATTATCACAAACTTCTATAGCAATATACAGAAACGTAAGAATATTTAAGTACTTGGTGATAATGTTATATCTCGAAAACTAGAGCTGATACAAAGAAAAGGTTTGTATTTTTAGAATCAGCACAGATGAGTTAACCAAAATCAGGTGATTTTGTTTTCGGCAGCAAGACAATTTTTTTTGTTGGGCTTTGTAATTTTCCATAAATTTGCAGTTTATGTCTGAATCAAATCATACTCTTGCAAGCTGCAGAAAATATGTCATCTAAAGTTTTTTATTAAGATTTTTTTAGAGGCAGTCGTAAAAGGTTTTGTAATCATATGATAATAAATGTTTCTGTAAATAACAAAACAAAAATAGTAACTTAAAGTGTTACAAATCAAGAACATGCAATAATTCATGAAAATTGTCAGTTGTACTTTTTTTTAAATTCTATAAATTCTTATATATATTTGTATATATAAAAAAATGACCTAACTGATGAAAGTATAAAGGTAAAAAATAAATAAGGTCGAAATAATCTACAAATACTCCTGTACTTACTCCCTGCATTTATATATTTATCTCCCATAATCTTGTATAAACCAAGAAAGGACCCGGATTTAATAGTGTTGTGGATGGAATTATAGCCAATCAAAAGTGGAGACATGGTCAAGCACCATGATTTAAGTTAAAGTGTATAAATTCCATAGTAATAAAAACTAACGACCAAAAATTCTTAAAAACATTTCTTTTTCACGTCAACAGTCTAGTTAATAAACATTTTTTTATTTATTATTTGCTTTGTTTGGGTTTCGCACTAACACGTTATTTTTTGTTTTGTTTTGTTTTCGCTAACCACAGACAATAGTCCGCTGGAGATGGAGGAACGAGAAAAGTAAGTTCTGATGTTATTGTTGAATTTAAATAAATGTAATATAGTGTAAATATAATTTCGTTGTACTAGGTGGTGGTTTTTATTTAGTAGCTTTTATTATTAACAAGATAGTTACTATAGTAGGTGTGGCTACTATAGAAGGTGTGGATACTATAGCAGATGTGACTAGTATAGCAAGTGAGTCTGTTATAGCTTTATACAAAATCAGTTACAGAAGTATTTGGTAATATTTAAGAGTGCGATATTACTGATTTTGTTACATATCGCAATAATAATACTCTAATGTCGTAACTCAAAAAAGATGACTTTTCATAATCAACGAAAAACTCGTTTCTAATGAATATTAATGGAAGTTTCTTTGTACTCTTAGTAAAATAAAAATACTGACGGTAAAGTTTTTTAAAAATTTTGTGTTAACACTGTATTGCTCTAAGCAAAATGTTCGAAATGAGATATTATTTTTAGTTATGACATTATTTTAAAAATATTTTGTGTTACTACAATTTGATTTACTATTTTTTGCGGTATACGTTAGTTTTGGGACTTACAACAATTTTGGGAACTGATTCTTGGTATTTGTTAACATTGGATCCAAATAGATTGTATTACACGTTAAGAACTACCCAGAAATGTTGTTTGTGATGTTAATAAATAAATCAAGACTCTTTTTAATTACGTTTATATTATAATCAAACAAATTTAGATAACAAAGTACAGTATTAACAAAGTAACATATAAACCTTCCGAAAAAAGAAAACAAAATCTAGTTATATTTAAGTAATTCGTGGTCAATTAAAAGCACCTACTTAAAAAAACAAATTTTTTAAACTTATTTTGAATCAGTCTAAAAATAAAAAACAATTATTACTAATTACGATTATGAATTTTTAATCGGTCAAATCCTTACAGTAAATATCCAGTAACTCCTGGGTATTACATATTTGAACTTTGAAAAATAAGGCTATTATCGAGTACAAGTTAATTAATTTTAGCCCAAGTAGTTTCGCTTAAAGTAGCATCTTCAGGGGCATTTCGTCAAATATAAACTACCCGGCAAGCGTAGAATGTGGAAACATTAATAATGACATAAAATTGTACAAAACACTACACTAAAACGAGGACAAACAGTTTAAAATTACTTAAAAGATTCTACGCTACATTCTTTGTCACTATCTGGAGGGATAAAGATTATCCCTCCAGATAGTGGAAGACAAATTGATAATGATTAATAAATGTTTTACAAACAACAACAAAAATGATTTAAAGTGATGATTCAACAATCATGTAGCATGTCAAAAATAATGAACTCAGCCAATAATAATGTCGTTAGTAAAAATATTAATTTAAAGAGTGCTGGTAAAATCCGTAATAGCGTAATAACTAAAAAACAACAATGATATGATTAGGTTTAAATCAACAAAAATGTAATAACTCGAAATATAGCTATGAAAATTACATACCTGATTCAAAAATAACATGGAAACTCGAAATAAGCAATGCAACACGTGCGTTCCCGATCACTATTGGTCACAACTAAAGATGACGCGATATTGACAGTCGGTCAGTCATGAATAACGTCTTATGTCGCGATCTCCTATTTATTTATTGCACTATTAAAACGACAGCTTTATTGACTTATACGGAATTGAATTTCATGTGTGGATATAGTGTTATGTCAATTTCGAAACATTTTGAGTTGCGATACTTTTGTATTATTAGTGCGATATCTTGCAGTCATC